AAGGTGACACTTTACAAAACTTGCATAAGGCCCGTCATGACTTACGCGAGTGTGGTGTTCGCTCACGCGGCCCGCACGCACATAGACACCCTTCAATCTCTACAATCCCGCTTTTGCAGGTTAGCCGTCGGAGCTCCGTGGTTCGTGAGGAACGTTGACCTACACGACGACCTGGGCCTCGAATCTATACAGAAATACATGAAGTCAGCGTCGGAACGGTACTTCGATAAGGCTATGCGTCATGATAATCGCCTTATCGTAGCCGCCGCTGACTACTCCCCGAATCCTGATCATGCAGGAGCCAGTCACCGTCGACGCCCTAGACACGTCCTTACGGATCCATCAGATCCAATAACCTTCGCACTAGACGCCTTCAGCTCTAGGAGCAGGCTTAGGGACCTCGGTAACCGTACTCGTCGAACTCGACAAAGAGTTCGCCGTGCAACCTAACCCATGAATCAGCTCGCTGAGTTTCTCGCCGGATCTTCTCAGCGGGTCGCGATTCCGATCCGGTAGTAGATTCATTCGCGAAACAGCTGCTCTTGAGCTGTTAGGTCTCCTTCGGAGGCGCTCGGGTAGCTGTTAGCAAATCCCACCCCTCCTGGCTGAGCCTTTGCTCGCCCACCTGTCCTGGTGAAACTGGAAAGGCCTCCGGGCCACCAGTAATCCTTCAATCATAAAAAAAAAAAAAAAAAAAAAAAAAAAAAAAAAAAAAAAAACCATCAAGTTTGTTTGTATTAACTAAAGACGGGCTAACAAAAAATAATGTTCACGCTGCAGCATTAAGGGATAAATATTATGTAATGAATTAATTATATATATATAATTATTACTTTTAATAAATTAAAACAATTAATGTTTGGTTTTTGTTATTTTTAAACAACATTCCCTCATCTTTCACAGCGCTCCAGGCCTTTTTCACTCATATTCCACATCCTTATACACTTCCAATAAGTTAGTCATTTTTTTTCTACACTAGAAATTCTCTAGAAATCTTATATATGGCAAGACAACGTTTGCCGGGTCAGCTAGTAGTAATATAAAAAAATAGATAAAAACAAATATTATTGAAATGAAAATAAAAGTTCATTTATTTATTTTCATTATAACAATAATATTCAAACAATCTTTATAATTTTCTATTTTTAGAAACCTTACGCAAATATAAGGGTTAATGTGTGTGTATTATAATTTTTTATTCTGAAATTTTTATTAAATACCCGAGCGAAGCCGGAGCATCCCGCTAGTCGTGAATAAATTAACGAAAAACAAACTTGAACAAACAAAAGCATTGTTTTAACAGAAAGATGTAGCATAATTGTTACGTTAAGTACTTTTACTGCAGAAAAGAGCCTTTTTGATGTCCGTAATCCCATAGACAAATACGGGTAATTTCCTAGTCTCTTTACTGAATTATAAACGGATTTCATAATTTGAAACTTGAAATATATAATTAAATTATCACAAACAATATTATTAGATATTTATTTATTTCGTGCTTAGTTGGTTGTTTGGTTATGGTAAATTATTGTTATGGTAAATTTTATACTTTATATTTTTTTATTAATCGTTAAGTCGTGGCTACACGCTTGCAAGCGAATAAAAGTTTTTATTTTATTTTTTACTAGCTGACCCGGCAGACTTCGTAGTGCCTCAATCGATAAATAAAAGACCTAAACTTTTGTATAAAATAAACATAAAACAAACAAAAGGAATTTTCATATTTATCTACCTTTTAAACCTTATCTGGACTTCTACATATAATTCAAGACCAAAATTAGCCAAATCGGTCCAGCCGTTCTCGAGTTTTTGCGAGACTAACGAACAGCAATTCATTTTTATATATATAGATTGCTAACTTTTGTGGACGACCTCACAGCCTTCCTGGTGCTAAGTGGTTACCGGAGCCCATAGACATCTACAATGCTAATGCCGCCACTCATCTTGAGACAAGAGTTCTAAGGTCGTAGTATTTACAATACAACGGCAGCGCCAGCTGTAGGTGATTTTAATAAAACTAAATTTTTAAACAAAGTCAGTATGGTAGACAATTTAAAAAATCAAGGGTAGTATAGACAAGTCAAAAAAAATTAAAATAGGTAACTGTAATGTAAATGAAAAGAACAAAAGACCTCAGCATTTTCATAAAAACAAAAAAAGCATCAAAACCGTTTAGTCCACAAATGACTTAAATCCGGTTTATCTTGTCTCGGACTTTCATTGTAGAAAGTTTGACCTACAATACTTCCGTTTTGGTGCGCACGAATTTCACCTTAACACGACTCATTGTAGAGTTCAAATTAATTTGATTGCCATTTAATCTTAATACATAACGTTGCATAATCTTTTGTGTGTCTTGCGGTCAGTGGATAAAATATATATGTTTGTTATGGAAGATCAATGACCTCCTCGTCCAACCTTGAGCTGTTTCTTCAGGCCAACGGCAACTTAATTCTATGGTTTATCCGGTTTTTGTCAGATCGTAAACGTCCATCCATTTCGACCAAAAAGAGCCCTTAATTACCCTCAAGGGGAAAATTTAACGAGAACTTCATTAGTTATGTGTTATATCCCTAGATTGTTGTTGTAATAAATTAATTAATTAATTACGATTACTTAATCTCACGTTTTTTTAATTGACATCATATTATTTTCTATGTTTCCAATACTTTAGTTTTCATGGTCACAGACGATTGAGGTCCTATTTTATATGTAATATAGGGTGTTATTGGTCGGTGTTTGAATATTAAGCTACTACCGCTAGCTAAAAAATGTTTTTTTTATCTATACACCTATACATATAAATAAAATTAGAGTGTCTGTTTGTAATATTGAAATAGCCTCTTTTTACTACATGCATATGAATATATATATACCAAAATAATATTTTTTTACAATTTTTGTCTGTTTGTTTGTTCCGGCTAATCTCTGAAACGGCTGGACCGATTTTGACGGGACTTTCACTGATAGGTTTTTTAGACTAGCTTCGCTCCACCGCGTCACCCGTAGTTATTGTCGTACCGTACATGGCGGGACTCGCCTATCAATAACAAAATTTAATGTTTCAGAAGCGAAGCGAGGGCGGGTAGCTAGTATAAAATATAATTTGAAGAACAGTATCTTGAAGCCTGGAAGTTTGTTTGTTTAGTTTTCATCTTCACAGTAATAGGAGCCCAGGCGCTAGATAAGACCGTAGCCGATAGATAAATAAATAAGCTAGATAGAGATATAGAAGCTAGATAAATAAGCCGCAAAAGTAGTTTTAATTGCGTCCATGATTTGCGGAAACTAAGGAAAATGCTGATTGTTTCAAATACAAACGAAGACTCATCCATCGAATGTGTTTTAGCGCTGAAGAGAGTCGGAACGCTTATGGGCGAAACTAGATTGGGTTTAGGGAAATTATTTTGAGCGTGAATTTATGGTTTGGTTGAATTAATCGCAAGAATTGCTTAACACTAGTGGGTTAATGAATATGCTATGCTACAGGATGCATACGTTTGGAAATAAAGTCAAAAACTCCAGCAGTATCTAAAAACTTATAACTGGCGGTAGGACCTCTTGTGAGTCCGCACGGGTAGGTTTCGGTTTGAAAGGCGGGGCAGCCGTTGTAACTATACTGAGACCTTAGAACTTAGATCTCAAGGTGGGCGGCGTATTTACGTTGTAGATGTCTATGGGCTCCAGTAACCACTTAACATCAGGTGGGCTGTGAGCTCTTCCACCCATCTAAGCAAAAAAAAAAAATAGATAGTCATCTTACTATCGATACCTACTACTAATACTACTGCGCTATGACCCCGAAGTGGGGGGCCTCCGACAATAAAATTTGCTGCGGCGCTGCGCAACACCTTGCCAGTCTGACACTTGGAGCCCACGAAATTTCCTTCCACAGCGTCAGACCAGCGGTACTTAGGCCTCCCTACGGGGCGACGTCCTTCCGGTACACCTACGTGCACTAGTTTCACAGCCCGATTCTGCTCGATACGCACTACACGCCCGAACCATCCGAGCCTCCGTGCCTTCATTCCCCCAGAATATTTGGCTCACCAAAAAGCCTCTCCATATCCTTGTTTTTCCTGACGTGCCAAGGACCAATATATATATATAAGATTTACTGGCTATCCACAATCCAGACACCGATCCTACACTTACAGATCGTGCTAAAGAAATACTAAGTCAAAAGAACTTTATTTTCGGACTTACCACTTATATTATCTTAAATGAAATCTATTGTTTTGAAACAAAAGTATGACCAATTCCACGAGAATCTCTTAATGTGACTGATATATCAAATTCTACTTCTACATTACATTCTGAGTCACGCGTATAATAAATATATTGTTGCCAAACATACTTTGCACAAGACTTTAAAATTCATTTGGGTTTTTATGCGTTTACGTTGAATTATTACTTCAGTCTTATAAACTTGGTACGTGTTGATCGAAATATGATATATAGTATAGATTCTATATTATCCTACGAAATCCTGTCGCGATGAAACCGCAAAATGTTAGAATAACCATAAATCGGGACTTTGATAACGTATCCCGGTAATCACTTAACAAAAAAACCAGCTATGTGGTCGTATCACCATCGATGCTATATTTCAAAACTGACAAAATCCGTATTGGACAACCGACATGTCATTGTTCGCGTGACTAACCGCCTGACTCACTTTTAGAAAGTACGACGTCCACCGACCTGTCTCATTTACATCTGTCGATGCGCAAAAACATAATGGAGATTCCTCAGTACCGCTTTTAGCAGCAGTAAGTATTTGCCACAATCGATGTCACTTGAAGCGATGGTAGTCCAAAGGCTAAGAGCCAAAGCGTTCGTATCCAATGCCATTATTTTAAGATTCCAAACGAGCACGCAAATTCATATCTTACAAATCGCAAAGAACGACTTTCACTATAAAGGAATAACATATTCTTCTTCTTCTTAATGCCCTCATTAAACATTATGAGGTCGGTACAACATATCCTCTTATCATACTACATAGAGATTTGGCTTGTGTCATATGAGACTCCTTGCGTTATATATCCATATTTCCAATGCAATGTCTCTTAAGAAAGGACTTTTTAGGCTTCTTCATTAGATGTTTATGTTGTGAAGGAATAATATATTATTAGAGGCGACTCCCTCTTAAGTCAAAGTCGATGGGCGGAGCCATTGACGACGAGCACTCACGTGGACTCGTGACGTCATCTGGAGGGGCAACTCGTCATCTGGAGGGGCAACCGACCGACCAGCGGGGACATCATGCCACCTCGGATCACTTTTGCTGGAAGCGCGCGCAGCGTTCACTTGTCTTAGATTTAATATTCTNAGCACTCACGTGGACTCGTGACGTCATCTGGAGGGGCAACTCGTCATCTGGAGGGGCAACCGACCGACCAGCGGGGACATCATGCCACCTCGGATCACTTTTGCTGGAAGCGCGCGCAGCGTTCACTTGTCTTAGATTTAATATTCTGTGTCGATCGTTCCTACCCACTTTTGTATTTTTTTATTTATTTAAATTATTAAGCTGTTGCTAAAAATATAATATAAATGAATTCCACGGTAACATCCCTGTAACCGAGCTAAGGTGTATTGTAAGCACGTCCCGTTAGATTTTAATGTATTACTAATTTCTGACACATAACAGTAATACACTCCGACTTAAATGGAGCATCCGTGATAGTAATGTAATTGAGCATACGACCTCATTTCTCAAGAGGATATTTGTGTTGATATATTTCTGCTCTAGTGATCTTGTTTTCCTGGCTAATAACAAAATTATTCGATTTACCCTTTAATTTCGATTTCACCTCATTGGTTTTTGATTGGAAGCGGCATAATTAAATCTTTAAAAACCCTAGTGTCAATTTCCGTCACATCAGACAAACATTAAAATGCTTATTCTATAGTGATGCTTTCCTTATGACTGAGGAAGGGCCACAATAAACTGGACATAACATAATAACAGCGTATATTAACAATAACTTGGAATAGATACTATACATGAATCGTATACTATTTTCTTCGGTTTTCAATTTACGATTTAATTTACGGTCGGCAGTGGCTTAACTCTGTCCCTGGTACTGCTGATGTCCATGAGCGACCGTAACCAGTCCCTATCAGGTGGGCCGTATGCTCACTTTTTTATTTGGCACTAGCTGACCCGGCAGACTTCGTAGTATCTCAATCGATAAATAAAAAACCTAAACTTTTGTATAAAATAAACTTAAAACAAACAAAAGGAAACCGTCCGATGGGGGAAACATCAAAGAAAAAACAAAATTGTTATTTTTATTTAATTCTGAGCATTTTGATATTTATTTACCTTTTAAACGTTCTCTGGACTTCCACAAATAATTCAAGACCAAAATTAGCCTAATCGGTCCAGCCGTTCTCGAGTTTTAGCGAGACTAACGAACAGCAATTCATTTTTATATATATAGATTTCGCATTATTTCTGATGCTTCGAACCCTTAGGAATTTCCCTAATAATAACATGTTATTTGTTTTGTGATGCTCTCTACTTTAGAGCTTTGAACATGTGAACTTGAGAAGACTGGGTTACAAAGGCACAATCTGAGATCCGGAAAGGTGTCCCAATCCAAGGGTAATACCTGAAGCTATCCATGAACTCAATGATGAAAGCAGGATCTGACTAGTGCTATAAAAATCGTTAAGTATGGAGACAGAAGTCTTTTATATTTTGTACCAAAACATTTTTTTTTTGTTAAGTTGAATGTAGGCTACTAAAAGGCTCATCTGACGTTAAGCCGCTGCCGGAGCCTATTGATACCACAAATAGACAAGACACAGACATTATAGTTAACTTACCCACGAATAGCCGGGCCTGAACCCCTTTCTGGATTTAAGCCTCAAACCCTTAGGCAGAAATTCATTATTATGATCGGAGACCCACTCTGGACTGATAATCACGAATCAATCATCAATTTTTTTCGACTAATCAAATTAATAAACCTAAGCCATAACATAAGCCAACTCCATACTAACCAACCGACTATAACTTGGGGTATCCCAAGCTGTGCAACTTCATTCAAACTCCATTTCGCAGTAGCAACACGCTGCAAGCAATTTAGCGCCTTATGCGACCTTTATTAAAAGAATGAACTCGCTTAACACTCAATCCAACGGAACCGCACACGAAAACTCGTAACCTATCATATCGCGATTTCGTTTCCTATGGCGATGCGGGTAAGAGTGATTTTGGCTTGCACATATTCATTAAGACAATGACTAAAGTTTATGCAACTCTTATGTTGAAGATTATATAAGCTTGTTTTGAGTTCTTTAGGCCATTCTTAGTTATTACTCAAAGTGCATTGAACGTATTTATCGTTTATTTGCAGGTGAGTTTTTATTTTAAGAAAAGAGGGGAATTAGAAAGGGGAGCAATATTCTGATTTTGCGTTATGATAGAATTTCCTTTTCCCCGAAACTTTCGTTTGAAGATATGCGCTGATAGTAAAGTGATATAAAACGCGAGGTTGCGGGTTCGAAACAGCTATTTATTTGGAATGCGAATTTGACGTTAAATAATGGAGGTGGTAGGACCTCTTAAGAGTCCGCACGGGTAGGTACCACCGCCCCGCCTATTTCTGCCGTGAAGCAGCAATGCGTTTCGGTTTGAAGGGTGGAACAGCCGTTGTAACTATACTTGAGACCTTAGAACCTATGTCTCAAGGTGGGTGGCGCATTTAGGTCGTAGACGTCTATGGGCTCCAGTAACCACTTAACATTAGGTGGGCAGTGAACTCGTCCACCCATCTAAGCAATAATAAAAATATAATTTACAGTCGACTTCTTCCCTTTGCTCTTCTAGCATGTCGCCTTGTTATGCCCCAAAGGAATTTGGTGTGAGCATTACAACCCGCTTATCTGACGTCAAACCTGCTTGGGTTATTTAATATCCAGTAGTAAATAACGAGGCAAAGGCACCGATTTTTTCTGTGTCCTCCTGTGGCATTATTTTAACTCCATCCGTTTTATTCTTCTTCGATTTGTATATTATTATTAAAAAATTCTTACACTAAATTTTAGCTTTTCAAATACGATAAAGATAAAAAAAATCACATTTTAATCATAGTCTATATTGTCCTCGAAAACTGTTAAAAATTCGAAGCGTCAGAAATAATACAATGACCTTAAAAAAACAACATACTTTTTAATAAAGTAGCTTAATTTATAACTTTTATTGCCTTTATAGGCAGACGGGCATATGGCCCGCCTGATGGTAAGTGGTCACCGTCACTCATGGACGTCAGCAATGCCAGGGGCAAGTCGCTGCCTACACTGTAGACTGTATATAACTGAATGTATAATTAAACTAAAGCTTAATGTTTCTTTTAAAACTAGAGTTTGATTATAAATTCAGATGGTGGGATCTCATTAACATTTTCTGACATGAAGTTCATGAAGATACCAGGATCCAATGCGCGCGTTGACGGGTTTGTTTACAGGCTTGAACTTCCAATATAGTCCCAGCACGTGGTGATTATTCACAGATTAATCTATACGCATCATACCACTCAACAACGAGGCTCATACGTAATAAGTTTTATCATTCAAGCTGTTACACAATGACAAAGTAGAAAGCGGTCCCGCTGAATTCATTACGATTTAGGTCAGGAACACGAAATATTAAACTGTAAGGATTATGGATGTGGTATTTTTGCGTGTGAACGGATATGACTTGGATTTGTTTGTAAATAAAAAGCGACATAAGCGCAGACGTCTTCCGAGTCGTAAAATTTAGCAGTGCTCGCTCGTAATACCCAATTTAAAATTAATTGAACACACATTCTAATTAAAACTGATCTATTTAAAAAAAATTATAAAATAAACAAAGTATATAAAATAATATCTGATAATAGATAATATCTAGAAAGTTCCTGTATATCTATAATGTCTGTGTATCTATAAAAATAGAATATGATTATAAAGTTAGTCATTTTTACTAGGATCATATAGTAATAATTATCGAATCAATTAAATTGCCTAGCTCTGCAATGTCCTGAACGTGTATCATGTATAACTTTTAGAGAACTAGAATTAGTTGCACTAGACATCAGGTCACTTGTTGCATCATGTCACATAATATTACCATATCGTCCATGTCCAACAGCAGTTTTCGTGGATCAATGTAGCAGAAATAATATACTCCGATCACGTAAGCAAAAATCTAATGTGGATCGTTTATCTAAGAGACCCGTCCACTAATTACACACTAAATAATTACCATAAATGTGTAATTTTTACCTCAAATACGATTTCAAATGAAATTTTTTATCGTAAACAAAAAATCGGAAAAGACACTTCCGGCGGAAAATGAGGATTATAAAAAAATTAAAGGTATTATTTAATAGACTTTTTGGCGGGAACGCGAGGAGTGGTGTTGTGTGATTTGTTTTATTTTGTCTATTTAGTGTTTCTTCAGGTTCAAATGTGTAATAACGGTGGTTTATTAACTGTTTAATATTTGTGAAAGTGCACAAATGTGGGAAAATGAAACAACAACTGGACGTAGCTTCTCGGGATCCTCCAAAAAGCCCACTGAAAAAGTCTCAGTACCTAAATGACCACCATTTTACTGAGATTGTATTTCATTCTATATCATCTCATCTCATTTCATTTCATTTCATCTCAGTTGATTATTGTCTCAAATTAATCATCTTCATTTCATTTCACTCCAAATTATCCTTTTTTTCATAAAGTGTAAGTTGTTAGGCTAGGTTGTTGGGCATTGTATAAAGTGACAGCTGACCAAGGTAGCCAGATTTTTTTTTTCGAAGTAGCCAAGTTACGTCGCTGTGTTTCTTATGACCGTAATGTGGCGCTAGTAGTACTTCAAGTAGGCGCCAATATTTAAATGAAATATACGTGTACATCTTTTTTTTTTTTCTTTTCTACTCCACTAAAATATTCGTTCACTAAAATATCAGCAGTTTCAACTGTATTAGCTTCAACAGTATTCTTAGCAGGTACTTCATACGTTTTACCATCAAATAGTTTCGGCATGTGTTCCGGTCCGAAAATAGCCACTTTGGCTATCAGTAGCCAAACGATAAAATTATGTCGCCTGGTTAGCTATTTAGGAGCCACAATGGCGAGAAATCGCCACATCTGGCAACCCTGCAGCTGACGTTTTGGGAATCAACTGCGCCGACATAGTACCTATATAAATATGGTCTAATAATTCGTTCACTTGTAAACAATGATCCTAACAAAATACATGACGATAATACATTTACGGTAACATCCATAATTCAAAGATTTGACTGAGCACAGAGCTGTAACGTAAATCAAATGGGAAGTCGGTCGGGCATTTATCGATCGAACAAACCGCATTACCAGAATTGGCTGTTTTAATAAATTGATTTATTGGTACGCGTTCATGTCATCGAATTTATCTCAATGCTTATGTAAAAAACAAACGTTGTTTTATTAATATACCAGCGACCCGCCCTCGCTTCGCTTCGGAAACATTAAATTTTATTATTGATAGCTGAGTCCCACGATGTTAACCACGGTTATTGTCGTACCGCGGGAGACGCCGCGGGGCGAAGCTAGTCTAAAGAAAAGTAGCCTAAGCTACTCCTTATATTATCAGCTACCTATCAGTGAAAGTCTCGTCAAAATCGGTCCAGCCGTTCCAGAGATTAGCCGGAACAAACAGACAGACAGACAGACAAAAATAGTAAAAAATATATTTTGGTGTATGTACCATATATATATTCATATGCATGTAGTTTCGGCGGTTATTTCGGTTAGTTCAGTAGTAAAAAGCGGTTATTTCAATATTACAAACAGACACTCCAATTATATTTGTATGTATAGATTTTTGTTATTGCGTAGACTGATAAGTGGCCCATCCGCAAGTAACTGTTCGTTTCTGTCGTTCAATCGTTGGATAAAGTCAGGGGCAAAGCCAAGCCGTAGCCAATCGCAAGCACTTACGATGCAATCATACGTACACATTTATTTTGTACTATTGGTCGAAATTAGTCGAAATTCGACTATAATTAATTAAAATTATAAGTTTGAACATTATTAAGGGTCTATTGTCAAAGACTATCATAGGCCTCTATAATAACAAATTTCGCCAAGGCTACACTATAGATAAATAATATTGAAGACAAACAATATTAAACTATTCTCAATTTGACCACATACTTTTACAATAAACAAAAGAGCTTAAATTGGTGTGTGTGTAATGCTTTTGTTTTTTTTATTCATTTAAAGTATTTTTATGCACAGTTAAAGAAATAGCACTCTGCACTCCTCCTCTATATAAACTAGAAGTGTGAGAAATTTCATACTCCTCCGTCCGCGCAATTTTCATAAAAAGGGGTATAAAGTTTTTGCTTCACGTATATCTATATAACTTATATGTGGGATCGTTCATAAGTAAAAGTGGGATGAATATAGCGAAATTCTTTATTTTACTTCACAATCACTTCGTACACGTCTTTCTCAAACTATTCCATTTTTGAACTACCCCCTCTAACCTTAAACTACTATCTCTTTGTGTATCTAATAGAATGTTGCCATTGCAACAGGCACAAAATAAATATTAAGAAAAACAAACTGAAAAAACGTAATAAAAATAACACTCCCCACACGGCCATCCTGGTCATTCATCTGACCCAGATGAACTATCTTCATTCACGACCCAAGGCTTCATTAGGTCAGCCGAGCTGGTAGTATTAATAGGACCTTCACCGTCGCCGACTTTTCTTACAGCGTACCGGTCATGGTGCTTCTTAGCCACTACTTCGTAAGGCCCCAGAAATTTTGGANTAAGTTTTTCGGTTTCCGTCCAGTTCATCAGTTGTGCCGTATCCTCCAATTCGTCAAACCATAATAATATAGGGTAAGTATCATCGCCACTAAAAGTTGTTAATGACTCCTCCAAATCACGGAACGGGATATAAGGTGGGTCATTTCGAGATTCGCGATCTTCTGCTTCTTTAATATCCTTCTTCGGCGGCATCTTTAAGGGGTAAGTACCTAAGTTTTGAATTTTCGAAATAAATCGATGTTCTTGTGTTTTTAACCTTCTTATAAAATGTTCTTCGTAAATTTTTTGTTAAGTCGTAATTTCAAGTCGTATGTGCAACGTCTGATATTCGTTAAGTCTTAATATTCGCAAAATCTTCTTATCATCATAATAACTTTCTTCGTAAAACGCGAATAATCGTTACTCGTAAAGTGCAGTAATCGTAAAACTTGCCGTCTTGAACATCATATTTTCATTTCATCTTCGTATATTTATTCGTAAAAATATTAATTTATAATGATGTAATAAACAGTATCCCGAAGCATTTTTTCAAATATGCATTTCAAACATCGGATCATAATCCGCATCCCGAAGCATTCGGTGTAGCGATTGTATCGGTAATACCGTCTAACGTGCTCGATTTCTTGAATAACTTTGAACGAACTGTTGTACTACTACCTTCGTTTTATTCTAGCTCGGGTTGGTAAAAAAAATTCAGAATGACTTGCCGGTTGCTTGTATTTTGTTGATAATATCTTCGTAAATCTTCATAGTTCTTCCACACTGATAGTTTTCTCAATCCCGGACGAGCCCCCAAAATAGTTGTGGGATCGTTCATAAGTAAAAGTGGGATGAATATAGCGAAATTCTTTATTTTACTTCACAATCACTTCGTACACGTCTTTCTCAAACTATTCCATTTTTGAACTACCCCCTCTAACCTTAAACTACTATCTCTTTGTGTATCTAATAGAATGTTGCCATTGCAACAGGCACAAAATAAATATTAAGAAAAACAAACTGAAAAAACGTAATAAAAATAACACTCCCCACATATATATATATATATATATATATATATAAAAATGACTTGCTGTTCGTTAGTCTCGCTAAACCTCGAGAACGGCTGGACCGATTTGGCTAATTTTGGTCTTGAATTATTTGTGTTAGTCCAGAGAAGGTTTAAAAGATAAATATAAAAATGCTCGGAATGCAATAGAAATATCAATTTTGTTTTTCCTTTGATGTGTCCCCCGTCGGACGGATTCCTTTTGTTTGTTTTAAGTTTATTTTCTACAAAAGTTAAGGTCTTTTATTTATCGATTGAAGCACTACGAAGTCTGCCGGGTCAGCTAGTACAATATAATATATATTATGGTTACTGTGGTAACCTCAACATTATTAGTCACGAAATCTGAAAGGAAACATCGTATCTTGATTAAAAACCGCTGATTTTACCGGGCCGAGGTCGTTACGTGATACGTGACTTGATTACAAAAGGACGAAAGGTACTACTATGAATACGTCTGAAATAAATTAAAGTTGTTTAGAAGTTATGTCCCTTTTAAGGAAAACATTTATGGACGGGCTTGATGGAGGGCTAGGTGGTGGTTTGCATATTATGACGTTTTTGACGATTTTTCGCCCACTGAGTTTCTCGCCGGATCTTCTCAGTGGGTCGCGTTTCCGATCCGGTGGTAGATTCTGCGAAGCACTGCTCTTGCCAGGGCCAGTGTTAGCAACACTCCGGCTTGAGTCCGAAGCTGAAATAGCCTCTCAAGGCTATCGGCATAGGTAGAAAAAAAAAGACGATTTATTATACTAGTAAATTGAACAACAGTTCTTAGGACATTTGATATCTAACGATTAATGAAGTCCAAAATCACTGTTTATCGAATAAGAACCAAAGTCATGAGAAAATAAGACTCGAAATAAAGTTAACTGACTTTGCTTTTTTTTTTCTTCCCCTGCTTTCTTCCGGGAGGACGTTTTCGAAGTCCAAAATGGCTTTAGAATCTTAAGTCTGAATACGTGCAGCTTATATTAGGTAAATCGTAAACAAAGAATTAATAGAACATTATCTATCAGACACGTCTCATTTCGGCCTGTCCACATTCAGCAAATGAAAATGAAAACCGTATCATTATTGTGTCAAGTGTCATTTATTTTCGCCGGAAAAATGATATTATCGCTTCCTTCCCAGAAGCTTTTAAAGCTAAGGACCAATTAAGCTTATGTTACAATGAATAGAATCTCGTGCCGGAGTGCTTGCTATCTTCAAGCAAATAAATAAGAATGGAAAATCAGTGGTGAAATGTGATCTGCCTCTGATTTCCTGGATGTTTTTATACCGCATATACTGATATCTAGCAAAACTGCAAGTAATACAAGCACAAAAAACTATATTTCTTTTTCATTTCCTGATTGACTCGGTGGTGTAGTAATTAACGGCCCGGACTATTACGCCGAGGGTCGTTTTTTTTACTAACATCATATTTATTATTACTGAAAATTCGAATACAGTACAGTTTTCGTGGTCACGGACGACAATAGTTTTAATTAAGGCTCAAACAGAACGGGTTTTGAAGAATGGTCGTTAAAATACAAACTTAAGCGATTCTCAATAGGCCGCCATGTTTCTTTTAGCGCGGACCGTTATATGATACGCGCATGCGCAGTACGCGACCGAATTTCTAGAGTTCCACTCGTACTTTCACAGCCATTAGCTATCACGGCAATGTGACCCTTTCCTATTTTAGCATAAGAGTGAATTTTCTATGAATCTTTTACTACGAACGATTGCATTGTGATTCTTTGATAAATTCTAGTGGAATTCGAGCAAGCGAATTTGAACCGTTCACATTCGTGAATAAGTGTAGATTAGATTAGTAAATTGGTGTAAATCATTCTTCATTTAAATTATTGTAAATATGATAAATTCGTGTGTTTGGTGATTGTCAAGCGAGTTTGAGCCGTAAGTGCTGGGCGATAATGTGTGAAATCGTGAAAAACTATTTAAATCTATAGGTAAACTATAAAAGAAGTGATTTTATTATTTAATCGAAATAATTATAGTGAAGGGCATACCGAAGAGTTTTGAAATAATAAATTTGATTTCCGATGAATTTGATTTGAAAATTTATTTCCGAAGGTATTAAGTTAAGATATTTGAAAACCCTTCAGCCGACACCCCATATCTTCGTATAATGGAACTTTAGAAATATGGTCCTCTATTGCTACTGCCCATGGACAGCAAATTGACTTTTTATCAAACCAAGCCTAGTTTTAACTAAAAATGTATAGTTCAAATTTTAAATTATCAAAGACTTCACAATATTTTTTTTTATAAATAAAATTCTTATATTTATGAAAGTGGACCTATCAATTCTCTCATTAACAGAGCATTATTGACAGTGTTATAAGTAATTGTTAAATTTGAAACAATATAATTTCCCTAAATACTCTATTGCAGAATATTATTAAATTCTTTCTAGACGCTGGTTCTCAAATTACGGGAAAAAGACGAATTTCAGAAATCGAGGGCTTTTTAAGAAGGTATCCAAGCTCACTGCGCAACTGATGTTAGGCTGTAATCAGAACCTATAGATGTTACAACATAGTGCTAAGAAATTAAGTCCAACTCTCAGTAGGCAGGGCATGGCTATGCCTCTGGCATTGCTGATGTCCATAAGCAACGGTGACTACTTACCATCACATAGACCGCATGTTCTTTTACCTGCAAAGGTGCAATCGAAAACTCAGCTTATTCTTCTTTCAAAACTGGAAAGGCCTCCGGGCCACCGGTAATCTTCCAATCATAAAAAAAGTACCATTCCACTAACAATATCCAAGTGACTAATTACAAGATCGAAGAGAAAATCCATCTAAAACAATTCATTGTTGATTTTTACTAGAACCAGTTACACAAGAATGTATCAAGCGAGATGGCTGATGCTGGCGGTGGCAGCGACGTTAGCGCTGCAGTCGCGAGGGGATGGCGGCATCAGACTACCAGACCAGCCTTCCAAAGAAAACACCGAAGGAAGATCACTCAATTTCGGAGGAGATAATGGAAGATCCGTGAGTACTATTACAACTGAGAGATTCCTTAAAAATAAATTATAAATTAAACGATCTTCATCGATCAGCCATATTGCAACTTAGTGACGTCATACAGACGTATGATCGAGATGATGTATGACTTGAAAGGATTTAGGATTGGGGCATGAAATTAGAACAAAATATTTTTTTTGTACTTTGGATGAATTCTTATCTTCCGTAGAAAATACCCGAACTTATCTCTAAACTTGACTATTGACTTGATCTATTTTTTTAAATCACCCTGATATCGGGGCTGCTATTGCTATGATGTCAGAAATATTAATTAAAACATAAAATAAAACATGGAAATTAATCACCCGACTTAAATGACAAACTGTAATTAAATTTTGAAAAATAATAAAATGCTATAAAATACACAAACATAAAAATCATTAGGCGTTATATTTTTGTTGAAAATCCAAATTAAATTAACTTATGATATTTCAGCCGAGCAAAGGACCAGATTTGACTGCTTGTTAAATATTTCTCAATCGAAGGCCTCTTATTTTACAGCCTCAGGCTCAGGGTCGTGGTTTACTGGACTGGATTGGCTTGGGCGAGGATCAAGACCCCTACATCCAGCAATCAACACAGCAGTGCATCAATGGAGACCTAGCAGACTGTTTCAAAGCACAAGCTTTGAGGTCGTTTGACGATTTCTTCGACAAGCAGGCTTACCAGTGAGTACTTTCTTATTAACTGTGGCTCATTTCAATTACTAATACTATTTAAATTTGGCAAGATTGAAGACATTATTTAACACATAACAATGAATGCTATACGTCCAAAAAAAAAGCCAAAAAAGGTGAAGTTACACGAAAAAGTTGACTGCGGCTGATAATGGCTTTATACTAAGATCTACAAATTGACGTTCAAACATACGCCACTCTATTTAATTTTCTATATTAACTCATTTCCACACCTACATAATTATGTCACATCAAAGATATACTATTAAAAAGTCAAAAGTTAGATGCTCTCACTTTAACAATATATCCTGCTGACAGACTTTCAGATAACGCACTCTTAGTCAAAGCAGAGAACCAAGCAAGGGCACTAGCCAGAGAGCCACCTCAACTGGATTCGCAGCCTCGTAGCGAAGATTCCGACTGGGAAGCCCTTGTCAAATACGGAATGAGGAAAATTGAAAGGTTTGTTATACATAGTATATTCAAGTTGATTTTTCAGCAAATGTAATTTTTCTGCAATAACATTTATTCTAATATTTCAAATGCAAAAGTCGATGTTTGCCTAACATTAACATTAACTTGATAAGAACATCAAAGTAATCTGAATTAGTAATCTCACTGTACACTGTACAAAAAAATGAAGTCGTCGTGGCCTAAGGGATAAGACGTCCGGTGCATTCGTGTTAAGAGATGCACCGGTGTTCGAATCTCAGGCGGGTACCAATTTTTGTAATGAAATACGTACTCGACAAATGTTCACGATTGACTTCCACGGTGAAGGAATAACATCGTGTAATAAAAATGAAACCCGCAAAATTATAATTTGCGTAATTACTGGTGGTAGGACCTCTTGTGAGTCCACGCGGGTAGGTACCACCGCCCTGCCTATTTCTGCCGTGAAGCAGTAATGCGTTTCGGTTTGAAGGGTGGGGCTGCCGTTGTAACTGTAATTGAGACCTTAGAACTTATATCTCAAGGTGGGTGGCGCATTTACGTCGTAGATGTCTATGGGCTCCAGTAACCACTTAACACCAGGTGGGCTGTGAGCTCGTCCGCCCATCTAGCAATAAAAAGTAATAAAAAAAAACTAAGAAATAGATAAAGCGGCTTTTATTAATCGCCTTATAAAGCAAATGAGCAATGATGCGGATAATGAGTACTCACTGTCGCTTAAAGATGTCAACCAACTCCAGCGGCGTAAAAAACCGCTGTTTACCGCTTTGGATGAACTAGATGATCACCGAATGCGAATCATTTGAATTGAAATGAAAAATATGCCGATATTGTGAGCGTAAATTCCCTGTCATATCTAATGAGACTTTGCAAAAAGTAGCAATACATATAGAACAGTTTCTTTCGGTAAAAATAATGAAAAACATTTCTTAACAAAATAAAAAAGTTTAACGGTCCAAACTAATCCAATGGAAAGCCGCTGGAAAGCACACTCAGCGAATCTGTCTTCTTCAACCAGTGTCTACCCAACGATAGAAGTAGGTATCTTCATATGCACTCCATTCGTTTTGGTCTCTTGTCTTTCGCATCCAGTCCTTACCAGCTATTTTGACTAATGCGAATACTCGGCAAATGCCAAAACCGAACTTGAGATATTATGAAAACAAACCCTTTATTTTATTGTAAAATGACTGTCAAACTCTTAAAATCAGATCTGCCTCACACAGATATAAATAGGCAAATTAGTAAATTCAAGACCTAGGACTGTTTGTTTACATCGATTTTGCTTTTATGTGGTAAATGCAAAAGCTCTTGTAAGAAACATATTGTTGCCTAAATGAGAATATCGTTAAACCGAAAATGTAGCTCCGTTTATATCGTCGGCACGAACTTAATATTTGTTCATAAAGCGTGGCAATATGAAGAGGATTAAAATTAACATATTACTATGCTTAAGGTTTATGTGAATAATTACATTCGAAACCATTATGTGGATTGTGGAATTATACAAACACACTGTAGAAAGGTTTTCGGCAGTTCATCACATGCGTTTCGTGAGATTAAATAAACAGTAAGATTAGTTTTGTTGCAAAGCGTGGATATGGCTTTTGTGTGTCTTTCGCTAGTCAAACATTCATCTTCGGCATTAGTTATTCCAAAGAGTTGAACTAAATTATCTTTAAGTTATATTTTTAAGAAAGAATAATCTTCTTCATCGAATAATCCTGATTATGCTGAAGGTGGGTGTGAATATTGGCTGAAAATTTTCTAACTTGATTTTCGCAACATGAATTTTGCTAGTCACCTCGAAATGTGAGATGAATTCAGAGTTGTATTATATAACGGCTTTCGGTCCAATTGGTACACATGCTTCTTAACAGAAATAAGATACAAAATAGAATAATATGCCTTAATACCTATGAACAAAGGAATACCCTTTGATATGGACGCATATAACAACCATGTTCGTGTTGTTCAATAAAATCTATTAATTATCATCATTATCCTGCCCTTCCCCAATCACCTGGGATCGATGCAGCATGTTTTCTTCTTCCATACTCATCATTCAATCATACACAATTTCTTCGCTCTTACACATATCATCTTTCATGCTCCCCATCCATTTTTTCTTAGGTCTTCCTCTAATGACTTCCGCATTCATAGTTAAAACTCTCTTAACAACCTCATTGACATTTCATCTCATCACATGTCCATATAATCCCAAACGCGCAAGAGAATCTAATCTGTTCATTAAAATCTATCATACAATATAAATGTTTTACTACATCTACAACTCTTATGAGCTGAAGATACACAATCATACAGGAATTTTAGAATTCAAAACCTTTTTATCTTACCGTTTCTTATCACAATTTTTAATTTTGATAAGTCCTTAATATTGCGGCGCTTGCAAGAGCTCCATTAACACTGGTATACTGAAGAACTGCGAGTAGAATACTAGGGGCAGATAAATTTGTTTCTAATCTGATTTTTAGTGTTACTTCTGCCTCACCAACACAGCTCAAACATCGACTGTTTCTAAAGGAGATATTAAGAATGTATTGACACCTTATACTTCTGTTTTTTCATAACTCTCTTTGCTTATCAGGTTTTTAAGGTCAACCGCCTTGGAGCTGCAGCTTGACAATGAAGTGACTTCCGAGGGTGTTATCGCTCCGAGATTCATCGACGAGATTAATGATGAAGTAGACGTAATCGAGGATAAAACGGCGCCGTTCCGTAAGTTCTCATGACTTCTTCGATTTTTGTTTATTGTATTACATAATATCTTATATTTAAAGTGACAACGAGCTTAGAGCTTTTCTCGCCACGTGTATCGGACTCTGCTCCATATTTCTATCCCTTGAATTTTACGATATTAGTCTAGTAAAATAATCTTATCTATGTCTTTGTGATTTTTTGGAATCAAATGTTAGAGAATACTTTGTTTCAAATAAAGTACTTGATATGTACGTAAGGCTTATAAAATTTAAAACCATTTACATATTACGTTCAAAAATAGATCAAGTGTATTATATAAAACTTTAGATAATTTCAATAATTATTTTTCTTAACAGGTCGCCACAAGCTGAAGAAACTTATCATTCCTATGCTACTCATCCTCAAGTTGTTCAAGCTGAAACTGCTTCTCTTCCTGCCTCTCATTCTTGGTTTGGCCAGCTTCAAGAAATTCTTAGGATTCATGGCTCTTATCATTCCAGGTAAATAATCTCTTACATTCCGAGTTACTGCTGCTTTTAATGGGCTGGTTGCTCTAACCCTAAAAAACTGTTTCTTTTTTCAGGTGTAATCGGATATTTCAAATTCTGCAAGCCAAATTCATCTCCTTTCTCCACAAACCACTATACGGGGCCTCAGTATTCACCCGCCGGTATTGGTTTAGGACCTTACAGAGAAAGTCCTCCCGAAAACTATGGCCATTACAATAATTATCCCGTAAGTAGAAGAATAAACAGAGTGATCTCACTAAAAACACGTTTGGTATTACAAGGATTTACATTCGATAATGTAAACATAAGGGTTTGATCCAAACAATTTGCGCACAGTATGTAAACATCCCTTTACATTTTCTTCGTTGACATTCGGTTCAGTTCACCGATGCCTAACTGAGACGCCTCTCCCGAAGTTCGTATAGATGATACGTAAACTTTGATATCTGTAAAGAGAAAGACTCGGTTGTCTATGTAAATATACTTTATAGGAGGGTCGTTGCTAAATTTTTGCACAAAAAAACCTATTGGGTTTTCAAGCGCCATTTATTGATAAGTAATTGATTATTCCATAACCAAAACTATGTAGAAAATTTGATAAAATAGCTCGGGACAGTTTGGTTTTTTTTTTAAACTATGCTGATAGCCTTGAGAGGCTATTTCAGCTTCACCCTATCAGGTAGGTGAGCTCACGGGGCTCAAACCGGAAGTGTTGCTAACACCAGCCCTAGCAAGAGCAGTGCTTCGTAGAATCTACCACCAGATCAGAAACGCGATCCACTGAGAAGATCCGGCGAGAAACTCAGTGGGCTTACAGTTTGCATTAACAACAGATTTAGCACTGAAATTATCGCTACACTAATCGATAAATATTTATTAAATGTGTATTAGGCTGCTAGGTGGTTAATGAAGGTAGTGGTGTCAGAGGTTTTCAGCCAAACTTAAGGTCGAGCATATTTTTGGGCAATATTTATCTATTTAAATCACCCCTGCCTTGTTAGGCGGAGAGCCTACGCCGTACGATCCTTGCGTCCCCTTACTAGGGCACCCATATCTCTTTAAGCTCACAATATGACTACAAATAGATATGGGGTAGAGGTACCAAACGAATCCTCCCTTCATCGCTTTAACTATGGCATAATCACATCACTCAATGCGAATTCACTGGGCGTATTAACCATGAAGTCATGACCACTTCCACAGTACTAATACGGTAAATTTACAATTTGTTTTTATCTTGCAACGCTTAAGCATCGTTTCCTTCGCAGGGCGGCCACAAGTACAGCCAGGGGGGCTTTTCGTTCAGAGACCACGACGCCAGTCCCCAAGACCTGGCCTATCAAGGCTGGGAGTACAGGAACAAGAAAGGAGCTGAAGACATCAAGGCTGAGAGCCCATAAAGACTGTATTAGTATGACTAGTAGTAGTACTAGTAGTAGTAGTAGACTGTAGTAGTATAGGACATCCAAAAGTTGGATGTAGCTTTGTTTTAAAATCATCTTGAAATAAGTACGCGAGCTTCCGTAACAAGAGGATCTTCGATTACATAGGTGTAATCAAGGATTGAAACCTGGTCATTCTCAAAGTCCCTAAATGACTGCCAGTTGTAAAATCGAGGGGACTACGTTATTATTTTCTATTAGAAAAAAAAATATTCATTGGCTTAGAGCTACAGTGGTGTAAAAACAAAAATCAGTAAGTTTCATAACTTTATTTTACTCACTCGATTTTACTATTGATGAGATCATCTGTCTACGGGGTGTTTTTTTTTTTTGTTATTGTTAATTTATTCTTAATTATACCAAAAGATAGTATCTATCTCGGTACGGTAATGTCTTTGACAATATTTTAAGTTAGACTAAAAAATTTAAATAATCTGTAAATAAATTGAAATAAACATTTTTAATTAGCTAACAAATGTTTTATTACTGTAGTAAGTAGATCTCAGAGGCGCCTATTGACATGGCAACGCCAATATCAGATTTTAGGATATGACAGGAATGTCTCAATTGGCATTGTCCTTATTTTAATTTGTTTAAAAAACGATTTCGAAGCTAGAAATAAAAATATCAATATTTTTAATCAAAATTCAAATTCAAATTCAAAATCATTTATTTCAACTTGGATGTCATCAAAAACACACTTGTTGAATGTCAAAATGTAAAAGAAAATGTTAACTCTACCACCGGTTCCAAAAAAAGCCACAGTCCTGAGAAGAACCGGCGAAACAAACTCAGCGGGCTTTTTTTTTTTTTTTTTTTTCTCAACTATTTTCTTTTTTTAAACAAGAAAACATATTTACAGTATACAAAAAAATAAGTCAAAAAAATACAATTCAAATAAATAATAATAATAATGGAAAATGAAAAGGCCAGGAGCGAACGCCTCATTCCCACGTAGTGCCATCTAGTAAAAAATCCTTAACTTTATAATATGCCTTGTTGCACAAACGTTCCTTGACAGTTTTCTTAAATCTATGAACAGGTAGTAGTTGAACGTTTTGTGGGATCTTGTTGAAAAGTTGTACACCCAGCCCCCTGAAAGAGTTGCTTATTTTCTTAATTCGAGCCGCCGGCAACGCAAGCCTATGTTTGTTCCTAGTGTTCACATTATGCAAATCGCAGACTCTGGGGAATTCTACAATGTTTTTACGCACGTACAATAAATTTTCAAAAATGTATTGGGACGCTAAAGTTAGAATTTTGATTTCCTTAAACTTGTCCCTCAAGGATTCCCTCGGGTGCATATTATAAATAGCACGAATAGCCCTCTTCTGCAGGATGAAAATCGTTTCGACATCGGCAGCATTGCCCCATAGCAAAATGCCATAGGACATAACACTATGAAAATAACTGAAATAAACTAGACGTGCCGTATCTTCATCAGTATACGTTCGTATTTTTTTTACCGCAAACGCTGCAGAACTAAGTCTATTCGCTAACTTGCATATGTGAGGACCCCAGTGCAGCCTGGAATCAACTGTTATACCAAGAAAAACTGTCGAATCAACAAGCTCCAGTGTCTCTCCACTTACAAATCGAAAATATGTCATCCTTTTTGTCCTTAAATTAAGGTAGACAGCGGCTTGGCTCTGCCCCTGGCATTGCTGACGTCCATGGGCGACGGTAACCACTCACCATCAGGTGGGCCGTATGCTCGTCTGGCTACTGGCTACAAGGGCAATAAAAAAAATTAAAAAATTTCATTATTGGCTTTTAAGCCAAACACTTTAGCCTATATTTTTACATACTCTATGTACGACTCAAATGTCAATGTTGATAGATGACTTTTTGGCGGGAACGCGAGGAGTGAAGTTGTGTGATTTGTTTTATTTTGTCTATTTAGTGTTTCTTCAGGTTTAAATGTGTAATAATGGTCGTTTATTAACTGTTTAATATCTGTGAAAGTGCACAAATGTGGGAAAATGAAACAAAGCTGCTGGACGTAACTTCTCGGGTTCCTCCAAAAAGTCCACTGAAAAAATCTCAGTAAATGACCACCATTTTACTGCTATTATATTTCATCCCATATCATTTCATTTCATTAAATTTCATCCCAGTTGATTAATATCTCAAATTAATCATCTTCATTTCATTTCACTCCATATTATCATTTTTCATAAAATTAAGAATATAAAGTAAAATAAGACATGACTTAAAGGTCTTAGTTACCAGGTCATAAAATCTCTTAAAAAAAAAATCAATGTTGATAGCTTTAAAACTCTTTTCTAAATTCAAAAAAAGCTTGCAGGTAGTCATGAATTAAACACTCAAGACTTATTTATCAATACGGTGTATAGCAAATCCGAACATATTTTCTGAGAAATTGTACAAATTTAGTAGAAAAATATAGAAATAATTGATTTAATGAAGGGGTTAAATTGACAAAACCATGTTACAGGTTAAAAAATTTGAGGCAATAGCTCCACTTTCTTTATGCTACTGATGATGTCAACACCTTGAAAAGCGATAACAGTTTTAATTGATTATTAAAAAACATTATAACTACAGTGAATATTTAGGCTTTAAAAATTAGTTTCGTAAATTAGCCTAATTAAAAACAGAACTTAAATGTAATTTTTTTTGTAATCAATCCTCATTTTGGTGTATTAACAGCAGGTATAGCCTTCAATCAGAATGCACGACTGTTTTGCAGCAGATATAAGCAAGATCGCTTATTTAATTTAGAATTACAAGCTCACACGACCGGTTTATCAAATGTTGTGATTTTTATTATTATTATTATTATTCTATTCCGTAGATAGGTGGACGAGCTCACGGCCCACCTGGTGTTAAGTAGTTACTGGAGCACATAGACATCTACAACGTAAATGCCGCCACCCACCTGGACATATGAGTTCTAAGGTCTCAGTATAATTACAACGGCTGCCCCACCCTTCTAAACGAAACGCATTACTGCTTCACGGCAGAAATAGGCGGGGTGGTGGTACCTTCCCGTGCGGACTCACAAGAGCTCCTACCACCAGTAATTACGCTAATTATAATTTTGCAGGTTTGATTTTGATTACACGACTAGCTGTACCCCTCCGCTTCGCTGAGCATTTAAAATTAATATTATTATTTCTCACCCCCACAAAATTCTCATCATTAACGCCCCCGCAACTGGTGTAGGGAATCCAACACTCATACAAATATTAGCCTATCCATTAAGTAGTACATGTATTTTCTACATGGATACCAAGTTTCAAGTCAATCGGATGTATGGTTCAGTAGGTAGTTATAACGGAACATCCGTAAAAACCACTGTAGATTCATAAATATAATATTAGTTTAGGAGGATGTTGGGTATTCCCTGGACCGCACGCCGCACCAATGTATCCATCCTAGCTCAGTTGAAGATCCGGACTAGACTCTCCACCATTTGCATGCGAAGGATTCTTGAATACTTTGGCCACATCGCAAGGAAAGACAGTGACAACTTAGAGAAATTGATGGTCACTGGAAAGGTCGAGGGCAAGCGACCAAGAGGCAGGAACCCGACCCGTTGGACGGACCAGATTCGTGCAGNGATTCTTGAATACTTTGGCCACATCGCAAGGAAAGACAGTGACAACTTAGAGAAATTGATGGTCACTGGAAAGGTCGAGGGCAAGCGACCAAGAGGCAGGAACCCGACCCGTTGGACGGACCAGATTCGTGCAGCCCTGGATACCACAGTGCACGATGCTCTGCACTCAGCTGCAGATAGGAACAGATGGCGGTGCACTATAAAAAAACAATCTGTTTCAAGGCCATGACCACGACCCTCAGTAATGAGGAAACCGACGCAAGGAGGAGGAGTATAGATGTTATTCTTTCACCGTGGAATTCATTCGTGAGCACACATTAAAAACGTATTTCCTTCGAACAACCATAATTCCACAATTAATTATTTACATACATACACTTCACGACTCCTGATGATAGTTACTACGAAAGAAATCTTTCCTCACTTGCCGACAAAAATGAAATTTCATCACAGTTGTATGAATGACATGCAAACAAACAAAAACTTTTATGTTTTTTAATAGATACTTTGTTTATTTACTGAGACAAAACAGCCATTGAAAAGTACATAAAATTGAGAAAATAAAAATTCGGTATTCTGGCTATGGAATGAGCTCCCCTCCACGGTGTTTCCCGAGCGCAATGACATGTCCTTCTTCAAACGAGGCTTATGGAGAGTATTAAGCGGTAGGCAGCGGCTTGGCTCTGCCCCTGGCAATGCTGAAGTCCATGGGCAACGGTAACCACTCACCATCAGGTGGGCCGTATGCTCGTCTGCCTATAGGCAATAAAAAAAAATCTAATAATCGGCGAGCTAGCGAAAATTTTTTTTTTTTTTTTTTATTGCTTAGATGTGTGGACGAGCTCACAGCCCACCTGGTGTTAAGTGGTTACTGGAGCCCACAGACATCCACAGCGTAAATGCGCCACACACCTTGAGACATAAGTTCTAAGATCTCAGTATAGTTACAACGGCTACCCCACCCTTCGAACCGAAACGCATTACTGCTTCACGGCGGAAATAGGCGGGGCGGTGGTACCTACCCGTGCGGACTCACAAGAGGTCCTACCACCAGTGATTAGACCAGATGAACATTTAGAATACTAGCAATAAAAAAACACATATCAACGCTTAGCGACTTTCGTACACGCGACTTCACATTCAACATGCGAATCCACTGCGTCGTCAACGTCTGAGAAATTTACACTAAACTAGTGGTCCCGCAGTAGTCGAAATTCGAGTATAATTAATTGAAATTATAAGTTTAAACATTATTATGGTTCTATTGTCAAACACTATTATTATTCGATAATATAATCACAGTGTTGGCCAAAACTGCACTATAGATCAATAATATTAATCACAAACAATATTAATCTATTTTCAATTCGACCATAGACATTAAACGTTAAAAGTTTCACAATTGACAGCAAACAAAGAGTATATTTTTATGTATATGTTGTGTCAAATACATGGTAGTGTGTGTGATGCTTTTTTTATTGATTTAATGTGTTTTTATGCATAATTAAAAAAAAATATCATTCTGCACTTCTTCTCTATATTCTCTATAAGTACCTATATAAGAAATTTCATACTCCTCCGTCCGCGCAATTTTCGTAAAAAGGGGTACAAAGTTTTTGCTTCACGTATTAATATATAGATTATAAGTTTGAAAATTAATAAGGTTCTATTATCAAAGACTAATAGACTTCTTTATTCACAGGTTTCACCAAGGCCACACTGTAGACATATAATATTAAAAATAAACAATAGTTACGGACGTTTTTCCCGGTTAGAGTACCCTTCCGCATCGTCCCATAAGGAACTTCGTTCCAAAAATATTATATCTACAGTAAATATTTAAGCTTTAAAAATTAGTTTCGTAAATTAGCCTAATTAAAAACATAATAAAATTTATTATTAATTATTAATCAACAATAAAATTTAATATAAAACAAGATAACATAATCTAAATTTGACCACAGACATTAAGTAATAACAAAAGTTTAGCAAAAAACAAAGAGTATATAAATATGTGTGTGTGTGTGTCAAATACATGGTAGTGTGTGTAATGTTTTCTTATTGATTTAATGTATTATTATTGCATAATTAAAAAAAAATATTAGCATTGTGCACTCCTTCTCTATATTCTCTATAAGTGTGGAAAAACTCCTCCGTCCGCGCAATTTTCGTAAAAAGGGATACAAAGTTTTTGCTTCACGTATTAATAAATAGATGATACCAAATATTGTTTAAATCATTTTTCTCGTGTATCTCTCTCGCATCGATTCAAGTTTGCGATACATTGAAACAGACATAGTGAGGAAAGCAGTCGAATACTGGCGGTCGTTGTGTTAACAATACAAATAAATTAACATTACTCTTATCGATTGTTCTCGATAAACGTTGCCGTTGTGAAAAACATTAATTACTCTTCGTGTCATTAAATTGGACGCTCCCAGTTCTTTCTTCAAAATGGATTAAAAATAAATCACAGGTAAATTATGTGCTGTGTTTTGTTGCGAAGGTAGTAATTGTGTTTTAAATTGTTGTTTAACTGTGTTTTTTGTTTTGTTTTTAAAAGATTGAGTTTTCGGCACCGCTGTTCTAAAGTGGTCACCGAAGACCACAGTCCCTGTGAACCCCACCGCTTGTGACATGAGATGAAATTCTCATTTTTTTTTTTAATTACCAGTAATAATCGTTTTACTACCCTTTACAATCCTTTTACCACTTGTACAACCAGTAATAATCATTTTTTTATTGCTTAGATGTGTGGACGAGCTCACAGCCCAACTGGTGTTAAGTGGTTACTGGAGCCCATAGACATCTACAACGTAAATGCGCCACCCACCTTGAGATATATAAGTTCTAAGGTCTCAGTATAGTTACAACGCATTACTGCTTCACGGCGGAAATAGGCGGGGTGGTGGTACCTACCCGTGCGGACTCCCAAGAGGTCCTACCACCAGCGATTACGCAAATTAAAATTTTGCGGGTTTGATTTTTATTACACGATGTTATTCCTTCACCGTGGAAGTCAATCGTGAACATTTGTTGAGTACGTATTTCATTAGAAAAATTGGTACCCACCTGCGGGATTCGAACACCGGTGCACCGCTACCTACAAATGCACCGGACGTCTTATCCTTTAGGCCACGACGAGTAATTTAATATTCTTGATCTGAGTGTAGACATCTATCTACTAGTTTTAATGGTATATGTGAGCTTCTTGTACCCAAAAAACAAAACAAAAAACTTTGTGCCGACGAATGATTTTGTTAGTTAGTAAGTAGTATGTATTTCTTACTAATGATTTCGTATCTCATACTTGTGTGATTTGTGAATTGTTTTACTATGCACTTTGCACGTAATAAAAATAAAATGCTTATGTACTTAAGTATACACATATTTGTAACCTGCAGTATATATTGACGTCCCGTAGTCCTTTGCTCGCCCACCTGTCCTGGTGAAACTGGAAAGGCCTCCGGGCCAACAGTAATCCTTCAATCATAAAAAAAAAAGTGACAGTCACAGAAGCTGACCATATAACACCAGATGTAACATCTGTCCATATCAAATAAGAGAGAGAGAGAGGGAAATAGAAGGACTTATTACAAATGAATGTGCTAAAATAACATATACATAATACAGTACTTAATGGTAGGCGGCGGCTTAGCTTTGCTCCTGGCATTGCTGACGTCCATGAGCGACGGTGACCATTTACCATCAGGTGGGTCGTATGCTCGTCTGCCTACAAAGGCAATAAAAAAATAATAGCTATGCACAACTCTCCAAATACTATTTTTCGTTAGAGATGTCACCCTTGTTGCAATGGCTATAGGGCTTTATTTTATTCCCAATTTATCATCAATCAGTTTGAGTCCTACAGTGGCATAGTAACAGAATATATAAGTCGACTATTATCAAAGCCGGCAATCTGACTTTTGGACAATGATTGGTAAATCAGAAAAACGAATTATTGACTTTGTATTCAATTGGCAGTCACAAAACTCTTCGGAACGACATCTTAGATAAATAACAGGTTAACTATTAACCTTTATTTAATGCAGGTTTTGAACCGTATTCTTTGAAGGAGACGATTATATTCAAATCAATCTGTATTGACATATCAATAATTTTTTTTTTTTGTCCAAATGCACATATTGCCACCTTTGATAATAGACGACTCATATAATCCTAAAATTCTAAAGACAAACAATAAAATTCGTACAATGCAAATGTGTATTTTCTCCACACGCACGCGTGACTGAGCCACGAATTCCGAACGGGAAAGTGGAGTCATTAATACAGCAAACAGCAGAACTCAATTATCAGCTTATGAACATGTGATAATTTGTGGCCTGTGGCATCGATTTATGGCTTTGCGTATTGCTGGTGTGACCTTGCGTGCGGGTATCTGTACATATAGATAAAATTAGTGTAACTGTTTGTAGTATTGAAATAACCGCTTTTTACTACATGCATATGAATATATATACGGTACATACACCAAAATAACATTTTTACAATTTTTGTCGGTCTATCTGTCTGTCTGTCTGTTTGTTCCGGCAAATCTCTGGAACGGCTGGACCGATTTTGATGAAACTTTCACTAATAGGTAGCTGATGATATAAGGAGTAGCTATGGCTAGTTTTTTAGACTAGCTGCGCCCCGCGGCGTCACCCGCAGTTATTGTCGTACCGCGCGCAATATGGCGGGACTCGCCTATCAATAATAAAATTTAATTTTTCCGAAGCGAAACGAGAGCAGGTCGCTAGTATTACCTAAAACTGTCTTGTGGTAGGCACGAGCTCTGGTTTGATATCTCAGACGGTCATTATAGCTGATCTTATTTCTCAAGGTGAGCGATGCTATGAATGTTCGAATGTACATCAATCTTCCGCTAACTAAATGTAAATCGCGTTTGACGTCGTCGTGCCCTAATGGATAAGACGTCCGGTGCATTCGTGTTGAGCGATGCACCGGTGTTCGAATCCCAGGCGGGGTAACAATTTTTGTAATGAAATACGTACTCAACAAATGTTCACGATTGACTTCCACGGTCAAGGAATAACATCGCGTAATAAAATCAAACCGACAAAATTATAATCTGTGTAATTACTGGTAGTATGACCTCTTGTGAGTCCGCACGGGTATGTACCACCACCCTGCCTATTTCTGCGGTGAAGCAGTAATGCGTTTCGGTTTGAAGGGTGGGGCAGCCGTTGAAACTATACTTGAGACCTTGGAACTTATATCTCAAGGTGGGAGGCGCATTTACGTTGTAGATATCTATGGGCTCCAGTAACCACTTCACACCAGGTGGGCTGTGAACTCGTCCACCCATCTTTTTTTTTATTTATTGATTAGACGAGTTATAGACGATGATTAGGCTAGTTATAACGCGTACTCCATATATCGTCTTCTTACACAGCACCGAATATTAGTCTTAGGATCTTCCGCTTGAACACATGTAGACAACCCTGCTTCAATCTGCCACAAAACAATAGGTTTTTTTTTTATTGCTTAGATGGGTGGACGAGCTCACAGCCCACCTGGTGTTAAGTGGTTCCTGGAGCCCATAGACATTTACAACGTAAATGCGCCACCCACCTTGAGATATAAGTTGTAAGGTCTCTGTATAGTTATAACGGCTGCCCCACCCTTCAAGCCGAAACGCATTACTGCTTCACAGCAGAAATAAGCGCGGTGGTGGTGCCTACCCGTGCAGACTCACACGAGGTCCTACCACCAGTAAGTTTTTCCAGGTTTTTCCATTTCGAACGAGCGGTAAATTATTCTCGCAATATTGAAGGATATCAAAAACATAGTGGAGTATACACGGTCTCCGCTAAGCGCTGGGCCCCGAATCAACTAAGCTAAAATGTTTACAGAAAGAACCGAGATGGCTAATATTTACGCAATATCAATATTTGCGTCCCTTTTACTCCAAGTGCTAGCTGAAGAGACAGCAACGTCGAAAACACGACCAGCTACCGACAGGTAAGCGGTGATCAGACACCTGATATATCTTTAAACGAGCAATTCTTGTATATAAATATAAAATATATATAATCTGAATCCCGGAAACGGCTCCAACGATTTTCATAAAATTTAGTATACAGGGGATTTCGGGGGCGATAAATCGATCTAGCTACAATTTATTTTCAGAAAATGTTGTTTTATTCGTGTTTTCAATAATCAACTTTATCGATAATCAACTTAAACATAAACTTTTTTTTATTTGAAGAAATAAAAACAAATAATATAATATAATATCAATACGTCATTTGTATCTAAATATAATTTCTGAAAAACACAATGTATAAAAAAAAAAAACCAAGCAAAGCTCGGTCATCCTCTTGTATTTGTTTTATTGCTTACTAGCGACCCGTCCTCGCTTCGCTTCGGAAACTGTAATTTATTATTGATTTCTCCACTATTTAATGGATGTTCTTATACATATAAACCTTCCTCTTTAGTCACTCTATCTATTAAAAAAAACCGCATCAAAATCCGTTGCGTAGCTTTAAAAATTTAAGCATACATAAGGATATAGGGACAGATAAAGCGACTTTGTTTTATACTATGTAGTGATATGAATCACAGCTCACCTAGTATTTATCGGAACCCATAGACATCATTAGCATTAAACTTGCCAATCACCTTGAGACATGAGTACAAAATCTCAATAATCTTGTATAACGACTATCTATTTTTTTTTTAGATTCGTGAAGATATTAGAAGGATTGGGCCTAGATTTTCAGCAGGATAGCAGCCTCATCGAAGCTCCCAGTTTCCTTTCATCATTATTCAAGCAAGATGAAAACGATGAAGGTGGAGGTGGACTCTTTGAGAAAATCGCCCAACCCCTACGTAAGTGTTTGTCGACGAAGACAGAGAGATAATATAAAAGACTCGTGCAATTAGCTCATATCTTCTTATCTATATATATAATAATATATAAATGAATTGCTGTTCGTTAGTCTCGCTAAAACTCGAAAACGGCTGGATCGATTTGGCTAATTTTAGTCTTGAATTATTTGTGGAAGTCCAGAGAAGGTATAAAATGTAGATAAATATGAAAATGCTCGGTGTTCAAGATTCAAATCTTCGCGCCACCACTCCATATCGTTATGGCGTCTCATCGGCGTCTACTCTCTGTAATCTATGCCCACTATTGCGCACAGTCACACGCCATTATTGCAATTTTTGTGAAAGTCTTTTCAATGCATTTTTTACTTTTAAAATAAAGTACACGTTATAAGTCGAATTATCGTCATTTAATTTAAAAATCCATACCTGGCCCCTACACTCGGAATTAAAGAAAAAAAACAATAATATTGTTACTAAGTGATTTCAAAGAAAAATTTCATAACAAGTAAAAATAAATAAATACAAACAAATGAAAATTTAAAAACATGAATAACTGACTAAGTAAATAATACCTTATTATTAAAATGTCCTAACTGCAGGATGTCTCTAAAATAACTTTTTTTTTGTCGTTTGGTAGGAAAAACTGCATTTTTATAAAAATCACACCATATCTAAGCGACATAAAACATGTCATAGAGTGATGAAACCTATACTAAACGACGCAGAAAAATCAGACGATTCCAATGGTGTATTTAACTCATTTTACCTACTTTTGTCGCTTAGTCAGGATTGCCTTTCAAGCGTCGATATTGTCTTCCCTTTGATGTGTCCCCCGTCGGACGGATTCCTTTTGTTTGTTTTAAGTTTATTTTATACAAAACTTTAGGTATTTTATTTATCGATTGAGGCACTACGAAGTTTACCGGGTCAGCTAGTTTATAATAAAAGCAAGTATAGTAATAGATTGCTAGCAAAAATATGGAAGGTTAATTTGATTAGTTTCTATATGTTATGGGATTAGGATGACGTATCCTAGGCAGGTTACCTACTATCTACCAACATCAAGCCATTTTCTAACCAAAATCAGTTATTTGTTCTCAATTCAAATAATAGACACTCATTTATTTTAATTTCGATCTCATATCTCAAGACGGGTGGAGACTTTCAAGTTTCAAACTCTAGTAATTACTTTACATCAAAAAACAGTCTGTAATCAATTTTAAATAAGTAGCTACATGATAAGTAAAGAAAGTCTACATTGTAATAAATTTTAAATAAGATGATATATTTTAAATAACGTGTTCAGTAAATTATGAAGGTTTTAAATACTAGACGGCTTATTTCGAAGTCATAGTGGCTTAAAGGATAAGACGCCCGGTAGATTCGTATCGTATGCGACTGTGCCGGTGTTCAAATCTCGCAGGCACCAATTTTTCAAATGAAATACGTACTTAACATATTGTAGCATCATGTAAAAAAGATCAAATAAGTCAAAATTATAATTTGCGTAATTACTTGTGACAGGGCGTCATGTAAGCCCACACGGATGTGTACCCAGCCCTACCTATAACGGCAGCGAAGAAGTCATGTGTTTCGCTTTGAAGGGTAGAGCAGCAGTTGGAGTATAAATTGTGCTTGCACTGTGCTAAGACAACTCTTATGCAAAAAGTATATTGTGTATGGCACCGAAAATATATGATAAGCTACCTGATGCTATAAAAAAAGACAAATTATTTTGATTTAAAAAGAACTTGACAGAATTATTAGCCTTAAGATGCTATTATACAGTTAACGATTTTTTTAATTGATAAATAAATCATTATGTTAATTTTAAATTCGCTTCTTTCTGTTCTTTTTTTTTCGTTTTATGACATAAATAACTAATTCTTATTCAATTAATTTATTTTGTTGTTTGATATTTTAATTAATTAATATATTTACTGACTGCATTTAATATTTACATGCCGACCTGGTAGAAACACGCTGTTCTATAAAATAACTATCAACAACTTTGTAAACCGTATTTTAGCTAATAAAGTTTGATTTGATTTCGTTTATATGTAAATATGTTTACTTATTTTAAAAAAAAAATTGGGAAAAAACAAAAAGAAGCCTGCTGAATTTGTTTCACCGATTCTTCTCAGGACTGTGGCTTTTTTGGAACCAGTGGTAGAGTTAACATTGTTATTTATATTTTGACATTCAACAAGTGTTTTATACTGACATCTAAGTTGAAATAAATGCTTTTGAATTTGAATTTGAATTTGTGACGTTGTTCATGTCTATGCACTCCGAGAAACACTCCGGTAATAAAAAGATATTACTGACCATACCCATATTAATCTTGCAGAAGGAGGAACGCTAAACGACATCATAGTTCCCGTGCTGCCCTTCTTAAAGCACGTGCTCACGTTCGTAGTGGTGCCCATGGGTCTGGAAGCGCTGAGTCTCATCACGCTGGTTCCAGTAATGACTCGAGCCATTCCCGGTATGTCACACATTATCATGCTCCACACGGAGAAAGTATACGATCCAAATGAATAAGGGGCTTTATGTTAATCCAATTTCGGACCGCGTTAGGAACTGTAATCTATTTGGTTTGGTTCTTCAGTATTGACGCATTTAAGCTTTAAAACTATTAGAATTTATTTGGCTTCTTCATAATTTCCTCAATTGAAAATATATCAATGGTTGAAACATTTTACTAAGTACATTCTTATTTTAGGGGTGATCGACTATTTCTTCAGCAAACCGCAACCTACCGTACAATACAAACCGATACATCACTTTAGACCAGCCCGCCCTTATCACCACTTCGCAGCCAGCAACATCAGACCCTCAACTGTGTACCCGCCCTTTCAAATCAGCAACATTGAAAGACCATATAAACATAGAGATTGGAACCAATATAATCAAGTACCACCGAATCCTTACCCAGAACAAAGTCACAAAACAACCCACGATTACGAAAGAGATAAACATCAGATTATTTATCGTCAAAATAATAATAATAATATTAATCTTTACGCGCATAAAGAACCCAATAGAATCAGAAATAAAGTCGTTTATAAATACGAAGATGAATTTAAACTTTTAAATCAATCAACAAAGCCATCAAGAATCAATCAGCCAAATAAACTTAGCCGACCGGATTCAGCCGACAGGAATACAGAATTAAAAACGAAAATATTCCCTAATAGCCCTACGAAATACTTTAATAAGGATTCCAAGGATGGTTACTTCCACGTTCCAGTCGAATTTGACAACTGGCAGGCTCTGACAGCGACTGCTAAAAACCATTCTAATGTCAAACCCAGCAAAGACATGAAAGATAGATTAAAAACTATAGCCGATATGAGTTATAAAAAAGTGGCTAACAGATTCAAAGTTCAAGGAGACGGTGGCATAGGACCTTTCGTTCTTGAAAGCTCTTCAACTGATGACAAAACTCCACCAAATAATGGTAATTACAAAAGAAATAATTCGAAAAGAAAAGGCGTCGCTTTTGAAGCCACGACTGATTTGTATTCAAAATTCTACGGGCTTGATGAAGAGGTTAGTATTTATATTTAAAAATTTTGAAATAAATAATATTATTTCAACTATAATAAATTCTTCGTTTAAGAATGAAAATAAGCATCAGCAACATTACATTTTTGATCATTTAATATTTTTGAAGGTCTTTTTATGAATAGACAATTTTATTTTAATAACATCTTTAAAAAATCCCCTATAACTTTATCTTTATTACTATATCTATAACTTTATCTTTATTATCTTGTTTACTTACTGTATTTACTACATTAATTTATTTAATGAAACTTATATTTATTTAATATAAAGCGCAAATAGCTAATGATAATGTCTTACAGTCTTAGCATTTAGGTTAAGACTCTTACAATCTTAACCATCCAAACATATAGACAGACATACCCTAAGACACAGAAACATAAATAATGCAGGCAACTTCTAATAATGGACTCTGATCTGATAGAAACGAAACCTTTGTGACTCGCTCAACTTTGACAATTAGTAACGATGATTGGAGAGATGCTTGCAGTCTTGATCATCTCACTAGTCTAAAAATCACCCAGTATAAACGTCTGAGCTTAGCATCGGTATACTTCACCGATATTTTGGCTGAAGACGTTGGGCATTATGTTTTAGATAGTGAAAGAGAAGCTATTAAAGATAAGTAAATGGTATTTAAACTTAGTGCATATATATGTGTTTGGGGCACTTGTTAGGGCTACCTACTTCTGCCTTGATGCGTGTTACTGCTGCATTAGCGGTTCGGTTTGAAGGGTGGGGCAACCGTTATACTGTAAAGGTGGAGACTTAGAACTCAAGGTCTCAGGGTGGGTGGCAAAATTTACGTTGTAAATGTCTATGGGCTCCGGTAACATAAAATAACATTTATTGTAATTAGTCGTCGTGGCCTAAAGGATAAGACGTCCGGTGCATTCGTATCTAGTGATGCATCGGTGTTCGAATCCCGCAGGTGGGTACCAATTTTTCTAATGAAATACGTACTTAACAAATGTTCACGATTGGCTTCCATGGTGAAGGAATAACATCGTGTAATCAAACTATAATTTGCGTAATAACTGATGATAGGACGTCTTGTGAGTCCACAGGCGTACATACCACCGCTCTGCCTATTTCTGCCGTAGAACAGTAATGCGTTTCGGTTTGATGGGTGGGGCAGCCGTTGTACTGTAAAAAGTGAGACCTTAGAACTCATTTTTTTTATTGCTTACATGGGTGGACGAGCTGGCAGCCCACCTGGTGTTAAGTGGTTACTGGAGACCATGGACATATACAACGTAAATGCGCCACCCACCTTGAGATATAAGTTCTAAGATCTCAGTATAGTTACAACGGCTGCCCCACCCTTCAAACGGAAACGCATTACTGCTTCACGGCAGAAATAGGCAGGGCGGTGGTACCTACCCGCGCGAACTCACAAGAGGTCCTACCACCAGTAAAGTAAGGAGGTGGAATTTACGTTATAGAAAAAAAAAACTTTAATTATAATCGCCTGTTTTATTTCCAGGCAGAAAAAAAGTATGGATCCAGTGGAATTTCGTATACAGAATACGAGATAGGACCATTGGAACTCGCCTTTAAAATGAACAAGAGCTGACCAAGAAATAACATAAAGAAAACCTCACCGATAATTGAAAACTGAACATTATATTGCATTAAATATATGCTATTGTTACATTTACAATATCCACTGTACTACGAAAACCGTGAAGAATACTGTAAAAACTATATATTTATCTAATCAACTTACATCATATTAAACCACCAACAAATTAATTTATTTTATTTATTCTGATCTCGATTTCTCTATAGATTCTCGTGACATATGGTTACAATTTTTTTTGTAATAGTAAATGGTATCTTGATTCAATATAAAGTGGACTATTCGTTCTACTATACAGCCGATACTACTATTTCATGTCGTGGTGACATTTATGCTATCTATGTTCTATATGAGTCGACTAGTATCAAAGCTGGCAATGTGACTTTTGGACAATTATTGGTAAATCAGAAAAACGAATTATTGACTTTGTATTCCATTGGCAGCCACAAAACTCTTCTGAACGACATCTTAGATAAATAACAGGTTAAATATTAACCTTTATTTAATGCAGGTTTTGAACCGTATTCTTTGAAGGAGACGATTATATTCAAATCAATCTGTATTGACATATCAATAACATTTTTTTGTTCAAATGCACAGATTGCCACCTTTGATAATAGACGACTCATATAATACTAGCGGACCCGGTGAACTTTGTTCCGCCACACGGTTTGTTTCAAACACATCAACCGGTCAACTTCAAAATTTTACTTTATTTAACCATAGTACGTTTAGCTGTCAGTTGCGTTTTGTTATTCCATATGAGTTGCGTTTTGTTATACCACGTTTTATGTCACGTCCCACGGGAATGTGATAAAAAGTATCCTATATCCTTCTCCTGGTTCTAAGCTACCTCCTCACCAATCTTCAGCCAAATCAGTTCAGCCGTTCTTGAGTTATAAATAGTGTAACTAACACGACTTCCTTTTATATATATAGATGAGCAACGATAACCTTTTAATGCTAAGTAGAGCGTCAGCTGGACATCCTTTGAATATAAAAAAAGAAAAATACATTTATAAGGCAATGTGTGTCGGGTTAGGACTCAGACATCAGTAATAAAATCGAGGTATAAGAATTTATTACTTTGAAATAATCACCTATCGTAATCCAGTAATTTATGTAAACTATAAAAATAAATAAATCGCATAGCTGAAAGAGCTTACGACCGCCTGGTTTTAAGTGATTACTGGAGCCCATAGACATTAACAAAGTAAATACCGCCACCCACCTTGAGATATAAGTGCTAAGGTCTCAGTATAGTTACAACGGCTGCCCCAACCCGAAATGCATTACTGCTTCACGGCAGAAATTGGCGGGTTGGTGGTACCTACCCGTGCGGATTCACAAGAAGTCCTACCACCAGTAGAAACTACAGACTACAAATCAGAAAAGTCACAAGCGGACAGACCACAATGCTCACCAATGAGCGATTGACTGAAGGAGAAGGAAAATAGGTCTATAGACGCACATGTCTACTTAACAGCAGATGGGCGTGGGCTCGTTCACCAGGCCTAATAATTGAATTATAATTAGTCAGTAATTAGGCGGGATTGCGGTACCTATCCTTGCTGGCTTACGATATGTCCTACCACTAGTAAATTCCGGTTGGCCATCGCAATACACTATCACAACACCCAGAGAAAGGGCCGCTAATTTTATACGCCATTCACGACATCCACTGGAAATATAATAATAATCTATATCTATAATAAATACAAAAATAATAATCTAATATTAAAAAATAAATAAATAATAATTTCATATTTAAAAAAAAAAAAAAAACATGCCCGCTGAGTTTCTTGCCAATTTTTCTCAGGACGGAGGCTAGTTCTTGTGAATTGGCGGTAGTTCTTTTGAATAAAATTTTTTTGATTTGATTTGATTCTAAGCCTACACCTCACACCCAATACGTCCCTCATTACGAATGTAATTTCAAACGATTCAGAAGGAACTTGTTTTTATTTGTGAATCGCTCTTTCAAAGGTCATGTTTGACGTCAAATCACGGATGGAGTGATCGATGTACTGCTTCAAAAGCTCATTTTCTTCTTCTTCTCCATCGCTCCCTCATTGCTGAGGATCGTGACTCCGTTTCAGCTTGTCGACTGCCAGCCTCCATCGGTTCCGGTCAGTTGCCTGGTGTAGTGCAGCGCTAAATGGTCCGCTGGTTTGCTCGGAGATCTGGTCGGACCAACGTTTGGGGCTCCGACCTAGGACGTTTTCCTTCTACTTTTCCAGTGACCATCAGACGTTCCAAGTTGTCTACACCTAAATCGAATACTTGAAAATGTACGGTTCTACAAGATTTGTGCAAATCAATACAATTTATACATAGTGCACCGTTAGACCAACCGAATGAATCTTATAGAATTTCTGATAATGAAATAATTGTAATAAAAACGGATTCATATACTTTTCATTGCACTGGATCGAACCATCCTTTCATAGCCTTTTCTGACGACCATAAGATCTCTCTCATAAGATCTTTCTCCAAGAGAGACACGAGAAGGTTCCTTGATAAGCAACGGTTTGAGCTACTGTACCGATTTACTATCATTTGAACGGTATTCTAATCATCCTCCAAATAAAACTAAATATCACAAATTAGAAGACCAATACTGATTTACAATAGTTTAGGTAGATAGTTTAAAAACTAAAAAAAGTCGTTTCAATAGCAAGAATGATTTGTTATTGTTAACTTAATTTATTATTTTTCGACATTTTATGTTATAAGTAAGTTATTTTATCTGATGAACTTTTTTAGGGGTGGCGTGCGCATGCCGTAACAGACGCGCGGAGCCCTATTTTCAACGTCAAATTAAAATTATAAATAATAGAGATAGAGTACCTAGAGTATAGACTTTTTTATCGAAAATCTCCTCCTCTTTAACAAACTTTATTTTAAATTCCTCAAATATTAATATTTTTCAAGTTTTGCAATTTTTTTACCTGCACCAAAATCCTTCAAAAACATTTTTCTAGAGGTGATTCGAATCCAATGAGCTATCGCTTATATTTTTAGGACATTTATCTCTATTTTTCACATGTTTGAACTAGTTGACTAGATTATATCGATAAAGTTGTGCCAGTAAATATTTTTAAAATAAATTCACTGCTAAAGCTTTCACATTAAAGATCGTGGAAGCTTTCCTTATATTTGCCGTTCCAATAAGGCACTTGAGAATCTTGTCGAGAACCTTAAATTTGACTTGAAAGGAAAATGAACGCTGCAAAATAATTTGCTTGTCGACGAACCGTCGCCTCAGATTACATTGCGTCTTATTTTAGTCTGCTCTGTAGATCATTTTATTACCATGGATAATATTCTTTTAGCTTTATCTAAATATCACGTACTAATAGGCGCGATATCTACTACTGTTAGGCGTGATATCGTACGTATAAGATAAATAGGTACAGTACACGTGAATAAATTTCATTCATAAATTTTTAGAAAAGCAACAATCCGCTAATCTATATGTCGGAGAAACCACATTATTATCACCACCATTCGACTTCATAGGGTGACCGAGCTAAGATAAATATTGAGTACACCAATCATGTTTATGGTCTTAGAACAATTTAGAAATCTTCTCTTGACTTGCTTCTTCTCTTGCTAACGCAAGCGAAAACAAACGACAGTTCTTAGGACTGCGGCACCGCTCTTCAAGAAGGCTGGTTGGTAAGTGTGATGGCGTCTATGCATATGCGCCTCCATCGGCTATGCTCTGTCGTGGCACGAAATTAGCCGAGTTCTGAGGTTACCGCATTAGTACTGCGATTCGTTTAGCTACCAAAGTAATGATCGACTCCGACATATATTATATATATTTATACTTATTCTGGCCATAAATACTGTTACAATTAAAAATAAACAAAATATTACATTTGATTTTAGAATCTGTCATTTTTATATGTTTGCACATTGAGTTTTCTCATTTTGGCGCCAATACATTGTACAATATTTTGCGATATTAAAATGGAGTGGGGTGATAAAGAGAACCGAATCGCTGTGATTGCATTACACAAAGTAGGTATGGAGCCAAATGCAATTTTTAAAACTCTCCAAACGCTTGGTATTGGTAAAATGTTTGTGTACCGGGCTATTAATAGGTGCAATGAGACCTCCTCTGTTTGTGACAGAGAAAGATCTGGCCGTCCACGTAGTGTTCGTACGAAAAAGGTGGTCAAAGCAGTAAGGGAAAGAATTCGAAGAAATCCTGTCCGAAAGCAAAAGATTTTATCTCGGGAGATGAAGATAGCACCTACAACCATGTCGCGTATTTTAAAAGATGACTTAAGACTTGCAGCCTATAAGAGACGCACTGGTCATTTCTTAACTGATAATTTAAAAGAGAATAGGGTGGTAAAATCGAAACAACTACTGAAGCGTTACGCAAAGGGAGGTCATAGAAAAAATTTGTTTACGGATGAGAATTTTTTTACAATTGAGCAACATTTTAACAAACAAAATAACCGTATTTATGCTCAAAGCTCTAAGGAAGCTTCCCAATTAGTCGACAGAGTGCAACGTGGGCACTATCCGACTTCAGTGATGGTTTGGTGGTGTATTAGCTATGATGGAGTGACTGAGCCATACTTTTGTGAAAAAGGTATCAAAAGATCAGCACAAGTGTATCAAGATACCACTCTTGAGTAGGTAGTGAAGCCACTTAACAACACCATGTTCAATAATCAAGAATTCCAGCAAGACTCGACGCCAGATCATAAAGCTCGGTCTAAGCAGTCTTGGTTGGAAACGAACGTTTCGGACTTCATCAGAGCTGAAGACTGGCCGTCGTCTAGTCCCGATCTTAATCCGCTGGATTATGATTTATGGTCAGTTTTAGAGAGTACGGCTTTCTCTAAACGCCATGATAATTTGGAGTCCCTAAAACAATCCGTACGATAGGCAGTGAAAATGTTTCCCATGGAAAGAGTGCGTGCTTCTATTGATAACTGGCCTCAACGTTTAAAGGACTGTATTGCAACCAATGGAGACCACTTCGAATAAGCTTTTTATACTTTAAATTGTTTTATATTTATGTATTAAACTAACACACTGTAAAAGTAATAAATGTTATTTGCAATAGATTTATTTTTATTTTTAATTGTAACAGTATTTATGGCCAGACTAAGTATATAAATGAGTCTGCGTAATGTATGTACGCTCATAACGTCAGAACATCCGGCAACAAATTGGATAATTATTTTTTTGCTGTGTTTGTTACTGTCAGCGGAAGGTACCTATGAAAAAAAAATTAAGAAAATTGCACGGAAAATTATAAAATTGAAGAAAACTTAACTGATATAATGCTGAAAGCTCACACGTCGTAAACTTTATGAGAGTAAAGGCATTTGTGTCAAAGTTTACATGTAAAGCTTCATTTGGAGCACTTGAGCCCAAAGCTTTATGTTGTAGTTTGAGTTTTGAGGTTAGATCTGTTTGAAGTGTTCCCAAGGAAGTGCTTTAGTAATTATCTATACATATAAATAAAATTCGAGTGTCTGTTTCTAATATTGAAATAGCCTCTTTTTACTACATAGATATGGGTGGCTGGCAGGAACTGGATAAGAGAAGCCGAGGATCGTGCTCAGTGGCGAACAATTGGAGAGGCCTATGTCCAGCAGTGGAATGCTATAGGCTGATGATGATGATGATGATGATGATGATATGGATATATATATATACGGTACATACACAAAAAATCATTTTTTACAATTTTTGTCTGTCCATATATGTCTGTCTGTCCGTTTGTTCCGGCTAATCTCTGAAACGGCTAGACCGATTTTGACGGGACTTTCACTGATAGGTAGCTGATGATATAAGGAGTAACTTAGGCTACTTTTTTTAGACTAGCTTCGCCCCGCGGCTTCATCCGCGGTACGACAATAACCGCGGTTAACATCGCGGGACTCAGGTATCAATAATAAAATTTAATGTTTCCGAAGCGAAGCGAGGGCGGGTCGCTAGTATATAATAAAATATATTCAGTTATACTCTATTCCAATTACGAAGTCCCATGAGACAGGTGTTATTATTATATTATTGTGTGTGTGAATTAATTGTATAATGATTTAGATTGATTGTGTATTTTTTAAACGATATTTACGACCATGAACAAAAAGTGATTATCTATTATATATTAATACGTGAAGCAAAAACTTTGTATCCCTTTTTACGAAAATTGCGCGGACGGAGGAGTATGAAATTTTCCACACTTATAGAGAATATAGAGAAGAAGTGCACAATGCTATTTTTTTTTTAAAAAGTATGCATAAAAGATACATTAAATCAATAAAAAAACATTACACACACTACATACCTTGTATTTGACGCACACACGCATGCATACTAATTATTGTCAAACTTTTGTTCTTGACGTCTGTTGTCAAATTGAGAATAGAATAAACATTGTTTGTCTTTGTTAATATTTTTTATAGTGTAGTCTTGGCGAAATTTGTGATTATAGAAGTATAAAATACAATCATAATAGTGTACAAACTTACAATTCCAATTAATTATAGTCGAATTTCGACTACTGCAGGACCTCTAGTTATTTCAAATTATACGAAACGTGAAGAGTTACGTTTTAAGAAATGTCAAAAAGGACTTCGTAATTGGAATAGAGTATAGTTTTTGAGGTTATGATGAAATCTGGTGAATATGCGGACAAAGGTTGAATGTATTGAGCCTTCTTTGGTAAACACCACCAAACTTTCACTTCTAGCACGAATCAGTCGTACGTTCGATCTTAAATGGGGTATCCGATAAAAAACAAATCATTATTTTTGACCTAACAAAAGGTGGAAATAATATTTTTTCTATTTAGCCGTCAAAATTCGGAAAAGCGGTCGCAAGACCTTCGCAATTCATAAGTACTCAATATAAGAAACAGCAAACATGTAAGTATAAGTTGAAACAATATTATTGACACATGTTATGTGTATTTTCGGAACACGGCATTTCGGACTGAAAATACTTCAAAGTCATAACACAAAATCAAGGTTACCCAAAACAATGATTTGATGAAATTTTACGTCAACCGAACTTCTTTATGTAGGGAAAAGCTCAAATCACATCAAAGAAAAACGAGGGTATGATTGAGAATTATTAAAAACCACGTTTTTCTTGGTTTACTTTAGGCAAAATCTAGTATAGTGGTTTTTTTTAAGAATTGATGTGAAACCAGCCGAATGGGCTTCTTATCAGCCCATGGACGTCCACTGCTGGACAAAGGCCTCCCCCAAGCCTCGCCACAAAGACCGGTCCTGCGCTGCCTGCATCCAGCGGATCCCCGCGAACCTCAATAGATCGTCGGCCCATCTTGTGGGAGGCCTACCCACGCTACGTCTTCCAGTACGCGGTCGCCACTCAAGAACTTTCTGGCCCCAACGGCCATCCGTTCTGCGAGCAATGTGTATGCTGAATGGGCAAGAAGTTAACATTTTTAGCCCAAAATCGGTCGACAATTCAACAAATAAAAGTTATTTTATGCCTCTTAATTAATTAACATAACTTTAACATTTTTACTGGTGGTAGGACCTCATGTGAGTCCGCACGGGTAGGTACCACCACCCCGCCTATTTCTGCCGTGAAGCAGTAATGCGTTTCGGTTTGAAGGATGGGGCAGCCGTTGTAACTATACTGAGACCTTAGAACTTATATCTCAAGGTGGGTGGCGTATTTGCGTTGTAAATGTCTATGGGCTCTAGTAACCACTTAACACCAGGTGGGCTGTGAGCTCTTCCACCCATCTAAGGCATAAAGAACAAATAAAAAACTTCATACAATTTTAGACGAATCAAAAATCCATTCTAATAGGTATCTGATTATTGTAATCTTGTTTTAAATAAAATTAGTATCTCTTTGATTCAAAAGCTATCTACTATGCTATGAGCTTTACACAAAAGAGCAATGCGTACCATCAAGACGACCCACTGCGAACATGGAGGAAGTTATTCTGACACGGCTCGCAAATCTATCAATGATACCGTAGAATATTGCTGCTATAAATGAGAGTATAGAATTCACTCTCTTTTACAGCAGTCGATACTTCCCATTTGCGCCATGAAAAATTTAGCTAAAATTTTAATAGTACAGTCTTATTGAAACATCCTTTAATTAAATGTATTTATTTATTTCACCAATACCTCTTAACATGGGCATTCACTGTAACAGAATCATTGTCTTTACCCAAAAACTCAATTTCATCTAAATCTCTGATAACAAACAAATTATCACTCTCTAAGCTTCTTCTAAATCTATTTCTCTGTAAGTTCTGAAAAGGCGTTCTATTTCTAACGACTTTAGAGTTCCATTTCTTTTGTCTTCTTTTATTCGCTTGTGTCGTTTGTTCGTCTTTTAACTTTGGTTCTGTTCTGAACGTGCCCATTGGTTTCGGCTGAAGTGTGGGCTTTGTCATCTGATGGACATATAACTTCTTTATCTTCATCCTGTTCCTCTTGATTATCTTCTGGATCGTGCTCTTCGGCGTCTTCTTGTATTTCCTTCTGGTTTTCTGGTCATCGTATGCTATCGCTGGTACTCGGAGAATGTTATCTGACTTGTCTATATACGTTGAGTTGTGTTGTGGAATCTGAAATAGAAGGACTTTTAGATAACTAAATTTAAATAATGTATTAACTTACACTGTCATTCAAATTAGCTGCTTTTAATGGCGGTATAGGTCACCTAGGGCTGATTATATCTGAGAGATATAAGTGATAAGTCATTGTCATAAAGCAAGAACTGAGTGTTTTTGTTGAAGATATTTGAAATTCGAGTTCCTTTCCAAGACTCGTTATTTTTCTGCTGTTTTTTGTTTTTCATTTTTATTTTATGGTTGGAGTAAATGTTTATTATTATTATTAAATTTGAGATCTCGGTTATTATTAAATTATTTGTATTCCTGATAGCGATAGAACACGGGAAAGTCATATGTTAAAGGCCATTGAATTTGAAACATATTATATTCTTTTTTTAAGCCATTTTGTGTTGAACAAAAGCAGTCAAAGCTGCGATCTCTGGATCAAGAGACCACTGGGACAGGAATTCATGAAACAAACACAAAAAACAAAACATTAAAACCATTGCTCCGAGGCTGATCGTATCAAATTTACACGAAAGCAAATTTCAGTGCCTTATAAACGCCAATTAGGAGCCGCGGAGAGCTCTCTAGAGATTTACACAAATTAATGGGTCTTACTTAAATGACAAAGGGTCAGTTTACATTGTTATTTTGCAATTTACAGCTTCCTTTACAGTCGATCATAACAAAAATGAGCGGGATGGTAGTACCTACCCGTGCTTGCTTACTATAAAATTTTATTACAAACCAGACTTTGCAGGTTTAATTTTTTATTACAGAATGTTATGTCGTATTAAATTAAACTATTACTATTGCTTCCCTTGGAGTTTGGGCTTGAACTATCATCGATCATCAATGGCGCATATCGAATTGTGAAATGCTATTTGTTCTAAGCGACATTTTGCTTATGAAGCGACATTTATCTTTGCAATCAAAGATGCGCTTTATTTGGTATTAGCATCGACAGCTCGGTATTTTTAATTGAACTTAAATTAAGTTTAATCCATTGTTATAGTTTTTTTTTTATTGCTTATATGGGTGGAAGAACTCACAGCCCACCTGGTGTTAGGTGGTCACTGGAGCCCATAGATATCTACAACGTAAATGCGCCTCCCACCTTGAGATATAAGTTCTAAGATCTCAGTATAGTTACAACGGCTGCCCTACCTATCAAACCGAAACGCATTACTGCTTCACGACAGAAATAGGCAAGGCGATGGTACCTACCCGTGCGGACTCACAAGAGGTCCTACCACCAGTAAATGTTATACAGCATTACTACGGTTGTTAAATATTTTGAATGGACTCGTTATAAGGCTCCATTTAAGCTCCTTTCGGCTTTACGAGTAGTTTTGTAACAGCTTGTATATATATTTAACCTCTATATGATTTATGGCATATATTAAAGAGATTATAATAAGTTGTGCAGGTGACACATATATGGTATTTTCTATATTGAAAAATTAGAAGAAGAAACATTAGAAACATAAGAACTAGTGAAGCCTTAAATGTTGTTTCTCTTTACAGAGCAACTCAATTTGTGTAATAGTTTTACTGGCCCAACTCCTTTATGGTCCATCGATTTGGAAGATAATTATAAAATAATACATTATCTTTATATATAAAAATGAATTGCTGTTCGTTATTCTCGCTAAAACTCGAGAACGGCTGGACCAATTTGGCTAATTTTGGTCTTGAATTGTTCATGGAAGTCCAGAGAATGGGTTTAAAAGGATAATAAATATGAAAATGCTCGGAATTATATAAAAAGCAAAACAATTTTGTTTTTCCTTTGATGCGCCTCCTGTTGGACGGATTCCTTTTGTTTTTTCTTAAGTTTATTATAAACAAAAGTTTATGTCTTTTATTTATCGATTGAGGCAGTACGAAGTCTGCCGGGTCAGCTAATATGATATAAAGATAAGGACTGGTGAAACCATAGCCTTAAATGTTGTTTCTCTTTACAGAGCATCTCAATTTGTGTTATAGTTTTACTGGGCAAACTCATTTATGGTCCATAGATTTGGAAGATAATTATAAAATAAGTAGCTGACCCGGCAGACTTCGTAGGGCCTCAATCGATAAATAAAAGACCTAAACTTTTGTATAAAATAAACTTGAAACAAACAAAAGGAATTTTCATATTTATCTACCTTTTAAACCTTCTCTGGACTTCTAAAAATAATTCAAGACCAAAATTAGCCAAATCGGTCCAGCCGTTCTCGAGTTTTAGCGAGGCTAACGAACAGCAATTCATTTTTATATATATAGATACATTATATATATTATATTTAATTTTATGCAATAATTTTAAGTTATTTCGTAGTAAGAGCAAAGATACAAACGAGAGAAAACGACCGAAATACTCTTAATGGCGTACAGTCACGTCATAAACATGGCATTTTCCCTTCATTAGGAAGAGAAATTTTTCTCAAAGGAAAATACACAAACAATGCTAGTTTTCGGATCATTAGCGAATACATAACGATTGCTTATTTATAATATATTATATGTGAATAATAGACAAGCAGGCTTATTTTATGGTAAGCGATTAGAGTCGCCCGTGGACTACAACACAGTGTGTCCGCTATCTAACGTGGAGTCCATTTCTTATTCATAGGCGATATTCCGTAATGCTAAATCAATCTACTGAGTGTAGTTCGATCCACATTTGATTAAAATGGGGTGAAATATTCACTGTAAAATGGTTTTTGGTTTTGTAAGAAATTTTCAGGTAAAAACGAATTCATTGATAAAATAAATAGGTTATTCAATAATTATTAATCAATTTACTGGTGGTAGGACATCTTGTGAGTCCCCGCGGGTAGGTGTTTCGACATTTGGTCCTTCCCCTTCCAGCGATAACGGAAAGAAGCAACCTTAATATATTCAATCAAATAGGAGCAGGAGATTGGTAGGCAGCGGCTCGGCTCTGCCCCTGGCATTGCTGAAGTCCATGGGCGACGGTAACCACTCACCATCAGGTTGGCCGTGTGCTCGTCTGCCTACAAGGGCGATAAAAATATAGGAGAGGAGCATCTTTATTTATCTTTATTTTAATATTAATTTCATTTTACATTTTTTTTTTATGTATTTAAGAACATCTTTATTCTTATCGATTGTTACTACTTTTGCAAATCAAATTGTTCACGCAATATAAAATCTAATTAAATTAATTAACCAGGTAAATTTGAGAGGTAAACTCTGCTTTGAGAGGTAAACTATTGTTTGCCTCTCAAAGCAGATAAGCTTAACGCCCGATCTAATGGGATTCAGCGATGCGGACAACACGCCTTTTTATTTTTTATTGCTTAGATGGATGAACGAGCTCACAGCGCACCTCCTTGAGATATAAGTTCTAAGGTCTCAAGTATAGTTACAATGGCTGCTCCACCCTTCAAACCGAAATGCATTACTGCTTCACGGCAGAATTAGGCGGGGTGGTGGTACCTACCCGCGCGGACTCACAAGAGGTCCTACCACCAGCGATTACACAAATTATAATTTTGCGGGTTTGATTTTTATTACACGATGCTATTCCTTAACCGTGGAAGTAAATCGTGAACATGTCTTGAGTACGTTATTCATTAGAAAAATTGGTACCCGCCTGAGATTCGAACACCGGTGCATCGCTCAACACGAATACACCGGACGTCTTATCCTTTAGGCCACGACGACTTCTAATGCCCGTCTAATGTAAGCGAAAACTCACCTGAGCAGAAATAAAAGAGAAATTCACAAATATAGAAAGAAACAGTAATGTATTATACATATTTCGTCACATTCGATGCATAGTCAAATGACTTTGTAACATTAAAATACAGTCATTTTATGAATCCCGTGGAAAAGTTTACAAAATACTTTACGAAAACATGTACATTGTTGTCGGGTGTTTGTTTTGTAAATCTAGCGGAAGTAGTTTACGTTTTTGCTTTTGAATTTCTAGATGTTTTGTGTGTTGTAAGGCGTTGGTTTTCGTGACAGCGATTTTAAATTTATTCCTTGATTTAATAAGGTGTTCAGAGAATCGTCTTAAAAACATCGGTTATAATAACTCACTGATCGAATCTAATCGTGTTTAAAAAAATTTAATTATCCCCTTCTAATTAAAAGTGCTTATTTTTCCTGAAAAAGGTGTCAATGCGAATATTTTAGTATCTATGGACTGCGATAATAGATAAATAATCAGAAAGCCCTAAAGTTGCCTTCCTATCTATAAAAATAATATGAACATTAGTTTAAAATTGTCCTAAATTATTAGTTTAAAATTGTCCTAAATTATTAAAAATATTAAATTATTAGGACAATTTTAAACAATTATTTAAAATAATACATGAAGAAAAAACTTTGTATCCCTTTTTACGAAAATTGCGCGGACGGAGGAATATGAAATTTTCCACACTTTTGGGAGAATATAGAGAAGAAGTGCACAATGCTAATATTTATTAAAAATAATGCATAAAAGATACATTAAATCAATAAAGAAAACATTACACACACCACATACTATGTATTTGACGCACACACGCATGCATACTATTTATTGTCAAACTTTTGTTCTTGACATCTGTTCTCAAATTGAGAATAGATTAAACATTGTTTGTGTTGGTTAATATTTTTTATAATGTAGTCTTGGCGAAATTTGTGATTATAGACGTATAAAATACAATCATAATAGTGTACAAACTTACAATTCCAATTAATTATACTCGAATTTCGACTACTGCGGGACCTCTAGTACTTTAAAATACGCCAAAAAAACCACCACTAGGGCCAATGATTCACTTGTTACATTAGTATGTAACTCGGACCATTACTGGTGGTAGGACCTCTTGTGAGTCCGCACGGGTAGGTACCACCGCCCCACCTAGTTCTGCCGTGAAGCAGTAATGCGTTTCGGTTTGAAGGATGGGGCAGTCGTTGTAACTATACTGAGACCTTCGAACTTATATCTCAAGGTGCGTGGCGCATTTACGTTGTAGATGTCTATGAGTTCCAGTAAGCACTTAACACCAGGTGGGCTGTGAGCTCGTCCACACATCTAGGCAATAAAAAAAAAAGCTTTACAGGAGAGCCATTCAAAGCCTAAAATTTGGAAAAACAGTCATGACAAAAAACTTCTTCAGCTATTTGAATGGGGTAACGTAATTGAAGTTCAATAAAAAACCATCGAACTGTCGATGCTAATTAATAATAACTACAAAGATATAATAAATGTCACATATTAAGCGAAATGTCGCTTAAACCAAACAGCCTTTCACCCCACGATATTATGTAATACAAAAACGCTCAACGCTCCGCTTGTGAATCTATAAAACCTTAACACGTAATCACATTACCGCTACCACTGTATCTGCGCTTACATGCCCGCTTTTACTGACATAATAATTGTGCTGGAGAAAAACATATAAAATAGGTTTGCACGTGAGTATCTCTTTTGTGGGGGAAAATGTTAACGAATATTTTTCCTTCTACCCGCACTCCGCTAAATATGGCCGGGAAGACGCGTATTCATTTCTGTATTTGAATTCAGTTGCTCTACTATAAGTCTGGTCTACTTAAAGAATCCTGGGGAACAGTAGTTTTGTGTCGACCAGGATGTGGTTGTGTGGGAAATTCATGTTAGTCGGCCACGGAAGAAAGACCGGCATCTCATGGGTTCTCTGATCGCGACGGGGCAACGCAAAGCCGCCGTCACCCAGAACATGTCTTGTCGAATCCCTGAATTCACTCTCGGTGCTTTTAAGCCTTTCAAGTGCCAGTCTCGACCGCCGAAGAGTACGACGAGCGAATTAGCCTATAGACACAGCCCACTGAGTTTCTCGACGGATCTTCTCAGTGGGTCGCAATTCCGACCCATTGCTAGATTCTGCGAAGCACTGCTCTTGCTAGGGCCAGTGTTCGCAAAGTCACTCAGATTGCGCCCCTGAGCTCATTTACCAGTCCGGGCATATCTGGAATAGCCTCTTAGGCAACCAGCAAATAAGAAGGGGAAAAAAAGAACATGGGTCCTTTAGCTTCACTTTGACACATCTCGCGGATAGCGCATTTTTGATGTTTTCTACCTAAAACTAGAAACCTTAGCACTCTCTTCTATAGTCCTCGTGCACTATGACTTGTATATGTATGTGGCCTGGCTGACGGTGCAGTCACTGTTGCGCATGGACATCAACAATGCCAGGGGCACATGTAAAGTCAGATGAAACCGCATCACGTTAGCGCGACATCAAAAATTTTTTTCATGCAGATCTCTCACTCTTAAACCGACAATGTCAACAAACATGACAAGCCGAAGGAAGTGACAAATCAATTTGAAACAACAAACAAAGAACAGATCATGCAAAAACTAAGACAACAGTACAACAAATTCGATGTAACAACATGATTATTCTGGTAAGACCAACTGTATTATTATGCATTTATTATGTTCGCAATGAACGCTTTTTACGACAGTCTGCACCGAAATACCGTTCTCGTCGAGCCCGTCGCTGGCGACGAAGGGCGAGTAAACTAACCCTCAGACACAGCCCACTGAGTTTCTCGCCGGATCTTCTCAGTGGGTCGCGATTCCGATCCAGTGTTAGATTCTGCAAAGCACTGCTCTTGCTAGGGCCAGTGTTAGCAACGCCTCCTGGTTTGAGCCCCGAGAACTCATCTTCACGTTAGGATGACGCAGACATAGCCTCTTAAGGCTATCAGGTTAGGAAGGAAAGAAAAAAAATTACGGAACACGCCAAACTAATAGCATATTATTAGATTTGGTGTACCTGTTATTTTTATTACGTAAGAAACACAGAACTGAAAAAAAATCACCCATTTTTGTTTTGACTGACTTAGTGGTGTAGTAGCTAGCAGCCCTGACTCTAGCGCTGAGGGTCGTGGGTTCGATTCCCACATCGGGCATGTTTTCTCATTGTCTGGGTGTTTACTATCTATATTTGTATATATTTAAACACGTATATAAGTACAGTACCAGGCAATAAATATTGCACATCGATATTTAGAAAGAGACAGTCGTCTGATTATTATTTTTTGTTGTAGAGCGTTACTTGTGTGCGACCTAACACTAACGATCCGCTATCTATGGAGACTAAATGTCAATTAGGTAATGTGCGACAAATATTATTTACTGGTGGTAGGGCCTCTTGTGAGTCCGCGCGGGTAGGTACCACCGCCCTGCCTATTTCCACCGTGAAGCAGTAATGCGTTTCGGTCTGAAGGATAGGGCAGCCGTTGTAACTATCTATGGACTCCAGTAACCACTTAACACCAGGTGGGCTGTGAGCTCATCCACCCATCTAAGCAATAAAATATATATATATATATATATATATATGACGCTCTACGAAGCAAAAATTATCCGTCTCTTTCCCACGGTCGATGTGCAATATTTATCGCCGGGTACTGTATGTTTATCAGTCTCTAACATAGGGATGCCCACTGAGTTTCTCGCCGGATCTTCTCAGTGGGTCGCGATTCCGATCCAGTGATAGATTCTGCGAAGCACTGCTCTCGCTAGGGCCAGTGTTAGCGACACTCCCGGCTCACCTACACGTCAAGGAGAAGCTGATATAGCCTCTCAAGGCTATCAGCATAGGTAGGAAAACAAAACACAGAGAATCCTAAATTGGAGCCGGATGGCCGTGCGTTATTTGTTTCTAGTTTTTATTTATATTTATTTATGGTTTTTCAGCTGCTGACAAATATATTAGTACAAGCAACTACAAGTTCACTAGTGATAGATAAATTCAGTCACGATGCTGTTTACGTTCGAGATTTCTGCCCGAAAATGCAGCACTGTCCCGAAGGAGCTCACGTCATGTGCATGTACTATAACAAAGTGAGTTTGTTTAATCTTTTTGAATACGCTTTTATTAGCTTCAGACGTATGTATGTTTGTAACGGAATCTTCAAACATGATTTTGACCTCCTTCAAAACGTCGGTTTAACTCGAAATTTGGTATACTTGTTAAGGACCGATGACAACTCAATATTTAAAAAAAAATTGAAAAATTTGAAATTCAACTAAAAAATAGAAAATAAATTTTAATAAATTTCAATAATTAAAAATAGTGTAAGAAAAAACGATTTTATTGTAAAAAAGCGTGGGGTGCATGGTATACGTAGTTATAAATATCTTATGCTATATTTAATTTAATATTTTATTTATTATATTAAATATTGTATATATATACACTATTTTTATAATAATTCAAATTTATTAAAATTTATTTTCTATTTTTTAGTTGGATTTTCTATAAAAGTGTATTTTGTTAGTTTTTTAAAAACTATTATTTATTATTTCCATTCCAGAATCAAGTATACAGTCCGCGCTGCAGTAACCCTCGGAACATTAGCATGACTGCTGAAGTTGCCAAGAAATTACTGGACGTCTCCAATGCGTAAGTTTTTCAATAATTAAAATTCATATTAATTAGAGCCAATTAGAAAAATGCTTACTTCATTTTGATTGTAATCAATACTTACTTGATTTTGATCATGTCTTAATATTGGAGCCGTCACTCTCGTCGAGTTCATTATAGACTCTGATAACCAGTAGCTATGCAAACGTTTACAAAGAGTAAGCAGATAGGCCATGATCATATCTTTTTTTATTGCTTAGATGGTTGGACGAGCTCACAGGCCACCTGGTGTTAAGTGGTTACTGGAGTAACGTAAATGCGCCACCCACCTTGAGATATAAGTTCTAAAGTCTCAGTATAGTTACAACGGCTGCCTCACCCTTCAAACCGAAACGCATTACTGCTTCACGGCTGAAATAGGCAGGGCCGTGCACCTGAATGAGTACATCAGAGGAAGTGTGAAAGTAGCCCCGGTAATCAACAAATTAATCAGCGGACTGTTAGCGTGGTATAGACATGTGATGCGTAGAGAGAAGAAGCATGTGACTAGGAGATGTGTGAAAATGGTAGTGCAAGGTAGAGGAGGAAGAGGTCGACCAAAAAAGACATGGATGGCGTGTGTGAATGATGATATGAGAGAAAGAGAAGTGAGTGTTGAGATGACGGCTGATAGAAGAGAATGGAAGAGAAAAATTAGCTGTGCCGACCCCACCTAGTGGGACAAGGTGGAAAAAAAGAAGAGATAAATGTTCACCTCTATGATTTATTCGAAAAAATTTTAACTCTTTGAATTATTAGAAATTTAAATTATTAGAAAAATATTCACCTCTTCGAATTAGAAGGAAAAGTTTGAAATATTAGTAAAGAGTTGATTTCTTTGAACACAAACGGCATGAGAAGCTTTATAATTTGGTTCCGTCTGAGCTTTGATCCACTCGCAATCGACAATTGCACCCAGGATACCAAATGTAATGCAGTACCACGTTCCTGTCCAACTTACACCACCAGCAATCAAGCTTTCAACTCTGAAGGGAGAAACAGTTTTTACAAAATATGGTTTTTTAGGCCTTTGTAGGCAGACGAGTATACGCCTCACCTGATGGTAAGTGGTTACCGTCGCTCATGGACGTCATTAATCCAAGGGGCAGAGCCAAACCGCTGCCTGCCATTAAGTACTCTCCGCAAGCCTCGTTTGAAGAAGGACATGTTATAGCGCTCGGGAAACACCGTGGAGGGGAGCTCATTCCAAAGCCGGATGGTACGTGGTAGAAACGTTCTCTGGAAATGCATTGTCGAATGTGATTTTGATCATGTCTTAATATTGGAGACGTCTCTCTCGTCGAGTTCATTATAGACTCTGATAACCAGTAGCTAGGCAAACATTTACAAAAAGTAAGCAGATAGGCCATGAACTTATCTTTTTTATTGCTTTGATAGGTAGACGAGATGACAGCTCGTGTTGATGGTGGAAAGATGGTGTTAAGTGGTTACTGGAGCCCATAGACATCTACAACGTAAATGCGCCACCCACCTTGAGATATAAGTTCTAAGGTCTCAAGTATAGTTACAACGGCTGCCTCACCCTTCAAACCGAAACGCATTACTGCTTCACGGCAGAAATAGGCAGGGTAGTGGTACCTACCCGCGCGGACTCACAAGAGGTCCTACCACTACTAGCATACAACAGAACAATGTTAAGAGCACAGAATAAATCGCATATTTGACAGCCAATCACCACAATTGCATCACAATTAAAGTGGTACACAGTGTCGCCAACTGTTTGAAAACTTTCCCCCTAAAGCAATTTCAAAAACCACTAAATTCAAAACAAAACTCCCCAACGACGGAAACAATAGTTATTTAGTATTTTTAAGTATTTTTCTTTAATTTCATCACATTATGAAATTGTTATTTTTGTTGATGTACGTAAAAAATTTAAAAAAAATACAAATAAAATTTTATCCCTAAAAATATCCCCAAAAAATTTCACCCCCTAAAAAAATCCCTGTATAGATTTTTTTCCCCCTAAATTTGGGGGGAAAACCCCGGAGTTGGCATCACTGGTGGTACAAATGTAAAGTAGTCATTATGGTGCGCGTTCTCAATTGGAAGTTTATAGAAACATTTCTCTGCTACGATTCCCTGACGTAGCGAAATACATAAATAGTCAAAACCAACTCATCAATCATAATGCTTGAAACGATGATTCTGTAACATTTTACGTAACCAGAAAGTAGGTCAGAAGCACATTGTTATAACTTCATCTATATATTAATACGTGAAGCAAAAACTTTGTACCTACCTCTTTTTACGAAAATTGCGCGGACGGAGGAGTATGAAATTTCCCACACTTATAGAGAATATAGAGAAGGAGTGCCGAATGCTAATATTATTTAATATTATGCATTAATATTACATTAAATTAATGAAAAAATCATTATACATACTACAATGTATTTGACACACACACATAAATATACTCTATGTTTATTGTCAAACTTTTGTTATTGCTCAGTCTGTGCTGAAATTGAGAATAGGATAATATTATTTGTCTTTAATATTATATTATTTGTCTATGCTGTAGTCTTGACAAAATCTGTGATTATAGAAGTATTAGTCTTTGACAAAAGAATCTACATAATGTTCAAACTTATAATTGCAATTAATTATAGTCGAATTTCGACTACTGCGGGACCACTAGTTAGAATAAATTCACAGAGATATGATCAAAGTAATGTTTTGCAATAGCGTACGGAGCAAAATCGCCAGCGGCAAAGAACACGGCAAAGGACGGCAGTACTTGCCTCGAGGATACGGCGTATTTCGTTTGGTACGTGCTAAAGACTTTTAAATGTATCAAAATGTATTCAATGGTGATTTTACGGACAGAAGTGACGACTTACTTGCTTTGAAACGATGACGCGTCACGAATATTGAGCAAACAGCTCGGCAAATGGTCATGGTGGCTTATGGGATCAGTAGTTTTAGAAGCCCATCTAAACTGCCATTTTTTTTTATTGCTTAGATGGTTGGACGAGCTCACAGTCCACCTGGCTTTAAGTGGCTACTGGAGCTCATAGATATCTACAACGTAAATGCACCACCTACCTTGAGATATAAGTTCTATGGTCTCAGTATAGTTACAACGGCTGCCCCACCCTTCAAACCGAAACTCATTACTGCTTTACGGTGGAAATAGGCAGGGTGGTGGTACCTACCCGTACAGACTCACAAGAGATCCTACCACCAGTATTTATACAACATACACAAAACTACTTAATATTATAACTACAATACAATACTATATAACTATAATATATAACTACAATTATAACTACAAGGTATAAAATTATAACTACTCAATATTTTTCGGCGTTACGTGTTCATAGAAATTTTACAGTTTTTTCAATGTTTCAGAACTGGGACAGTGAGCTAGCAACATTCGCACAAGTGTTAGCAAATCAATGTGTTTTAAGACACGACCTATGCAGAGCCACAAGTAAGTAGCAGATTTTATCGTTGAAGCTACTGGTTATACCTATATAGTATGCAGTGTGCTCAGAGCGAGTGTTTTTTTAACGTTTTCGATAGCGTAAAAGTTAACTCAAATTAGTTTGCAGTTGGAACAGCGCCCCTAGCGGCAAACGTAGGTAAACGTTCCAACTTCACACAAATTTGAGTTAACTTTTACGCTACGTTAAAAAGCTCGCACTAAGCACACAGATGATTTATCATAGCTTTAAGAATAATATACTCGTATCCAGTAATGCCAATGTAAATGATCATAATATGCTAATGCGAGGTATAAATTTAAAAAAAAAAAAACTTTTTAAAAGTAAAAACTCCGCCGACGAAAACCATTACATGGCGGTAATAAAAAATAATTACTGAACGACTGTCATTATCTTGATCCCGGATAAATCCGAGATTTATATTGTTAACTCACTTCCCGCGACAATAGCTCGTGAATCCATTTCAGTTACTGCTGGGGGGCCATTCGTCTAAATAAACTCTAGACAGGGACGCATTTAGTATTTATTGTTTATCCCAATCATTATTTTTGGCACTTATGGCGCTCAATGCGATCGAAAAGTCTATGCCTTCGCCCGCGTTAAGATATGAGGTTGGTTTTTTTAATTGCCCTTGTAGGCAGACGAGCATATGGCCCACCTGATGGTGAGTGGTTACCGGAGCCAAGTCCTTGCCTACCGTATAACTAATTTAGAATACCTAGTACTTTACTCACCAAATAGGAACTTACAATTGCTTTAAGGTAGAAATGGAAGGATGTACTTCCTGCACATAACCCTATTATGTATTGAGCAACCAGTTCGATACGTAGTTTCAGCTTAGAAGAGCACTTTCCCATCTCTTGCTGTGGACGTCGTAAAAGCAACAAAACGATTCTCCGGAGAATTGGCGCGGCGCTTTCTAAGTCTTAAGCCGCATACTGCGATCACGATCTTGCACTACTATGAGCACTTTCTTGTGGTAAAGCGTGGTGGTACTGGAATCCCCCACGGGTACTCTCCACAGCTTTACCTATTTCTGCTACTAAGCATTTATGTGCGATACCTATGTTACGATACCTTTGGATTTCGGCAACAACCTAATTGTAAAGCTTTTAGTTTTGCAATTTAAACCGTATTTAGAAGCTTAATGACGTTTATCAGGATATTAATACGCTTTTATTAGCTTCAGACGTATGTATGCTTGTAACGGAATCTTTGAACATGATTTTGTCCCCCTTCAAAACGTCGGATTAACTCGAAATTTGGTATACTTATTAAGGACCGATGACAATTCAATATTAAAAAAATAAATTGAAAAAATTGACATTCAACTTAATAATGAAAAATAAATAATAGTTTAGTTTAAAAAATAAATGTTAATAAATTTGAATTAAAAATAGTGTAAGAAAAAATTATTTTATTGTAAAAAAAAAAGCGTGGGGTGCATGGTATCAGTAGTTATAATAATATTTTATGAACAGATATCAGTAGAAGGGCTATTTTGATAATATCCTGAAAAGCACCCCACGCTTTTTTACAATAAAATCATTTTTTTTTATTCTAATTAGCGGAACAAAAGTGAAAACTTTAATACCTACCCACCCGTAGTTTTTTTCTAAATCAGGGCCTGGTCAACGCAATTTGCATTTTATTTGTTGTGATTACCAGTATTGTCGAGTGTACGATTTATATAATGCCCCGCGTATTATCGAAACGTTTTATTGCATTGAATAAACACGATTTAAAAGCGCTGCAAGTGAAGCTTATGAAAGCTCCATATTCGTGTTCTACATTGTTGCACAACAACGTGACTTAATATGTACTAGTGGTCGCCCAGTGGCCGAAATTCGATCATAATTATTAATTTAAATTATAAGTTTGAACATTATTATGGTTCTATTGTCAAAGACGTTTTTTACGGCCGTCTGGTGTAGTGGTAGGTGACATGGTCACTACAAAAGGGGGTCGCGGGTTCGAATCCCGCCAAGAGAAGATATTTGTATGATAAATATAAATGTCTTTTCCAGGGTTATGGATGTATATTAAATATATGTATGTGTATAATAAAAATATTACATTTATTTCCGTTATCTGGTACCTGTAACACAAGTTCTTTACGAACTTATCACGGGGCCAGTTAACGTGGCGTGATTGTTAGTAAATATTTATTATTTATTTATTTATTATTTTATAATCACAGATAATATTAAAGACAAACAATATTGATCTATTCCCAATTTGGCCACAGACCTTACACAATAACAAAAGTTTGACAATAAACAAAAGAGTATATATGGCCAGCCATATAAAGGCCAGTTTCCTTACCTATTAGGCCACGTATTTATAACCCACACTATATTTACATGATCATTTGAAATGTGGATTTTATTTTTTGGCCCTAGAAAGATTTCCGGACCCCGGCCAAACAGCAGGCCTGGTGCGATTCTCGTTTCCAGACTGGTACTTGATCAACAAACAGGAACTCTTCAAAACGCCGGACTTGAATCCAGATAAATTGCTGTACGCCGCGATCAAGGTCCTCAAATCATGGTACAACCAGAAGAGCTCGGTCACCGCGGACATGATCCTCTCTTATCCCGATTGGACAAAGTGAGCTTTGATTGACGTATTATAATTTCTATTGCTTACACAATACGAGCTCTCGGGCTATCTGCTGTGATACACTGGAGCTTAAAGTTACCACAACGTGAATAAGGCTAAGTTTCAATAATATTGCGTCACAGCTGCCCAATCTTCAAATTGGAACGCCTGAAGGCTACCCGGCAGAAATAGTCAACATGTTATCTAATCCCATTGATTTAACAACGGGAATGTCATCTCACGAGTCTTAAGATCGCAAGCCAAAAGCGAATTTATAACTGCCACTTGACCAAAAAAGGCTGAGTGTTGGAGCCCGTGTTGGCTCACAATATCTCCTCCCACCAGTTATTATGAATCTTTACTACGTAAGAGTTTGATACTAAATACTTTATCCAGATACTATAATATACGAGTATACTATATATATTTATATTTATTTATTTATTTTTTGGGGATGAGGGCCGAATCTCCTACGAGGTCCCCGCGCCTAGGGGACGCGTAGGTACGTGGGACTGGTCCGCAATTGTGAACCGCGGACCCAAGCATGATTTTAGGACCCTACCCACTAAACGACTGCTCTTCACTCTTCGCCCAAGCGTCCGATCCTCCCCGAGGTCAACACCCGGGTGAGGTAAGTAGGTTACCGCGGTCAACAGAACCAGACAGCGCAGTTTACCCCAAGGATGCCCGGACAATAAAGCGATCTACATCTAGGGTTATTTTTTTACCTCGTCCAAGATATCAAGGTCACTTGTTATTGTGACTCACTTACCACTTACAATAGTATCCTAAATAGGGCCGTTCTTTACCAATGTACCAAGGCTATTTATGTGCACATTGGGTCTTCCTAATTTCCTCCCACTACGATGCTGCTACGGTACACTCCTGTTTTAATATCCTTCCTAAAGATAGGTGGCAGTGCTCATGGTATGATGTCTACAAGTACAGTGTGAGATCATACATACAGCGAACTCTGATTGTTGCGTCAAATCTTTGTAATCAGAAAATTTCAGGGACCCAAAAGATCAAGGTGGAAGATTATATATGGAGATGATCCAAGGTCCAGCTACTCACATGGGCTGTGGCGTCTCAGCTTACACAGAATACGCACATTACGACTCAAACCCGAATCTTATTTATAATGTAAGTTTACACTCGAACTGTTTTATTGTCTAGATCAGTGATTCTCAACCTTTTTTTGTTGCGGCACATATTTAACGATTTCAAAATTTGGCGGCACACAAAAAAAAAAGATAAAAACTATTTACTTACTACAACACACTGCATAAATAGTTTATCAAAAAATTTTAATATACGAAATAAACTAAAATATACTATAAACTTTTTTTTGTGGATTTAAATATACTAGAGGTCCAGCAGTAGTCGAAATTCGACTATAACTAATTGGAATTGTAAGTTTGTGCACTATTATGATTGTATTTTATACTTCTATAATCACAAATTTCGCCAAGACTACACTATAAAAAATATTTAATCTCAATTTGACAACAGACGTTAAGAACAAAAGTTTGACAATAAATAGTATGCATGCGTGTGTGCGTCAAATACATGGTATGTAGTGTGTGTAATGTTTTCTTTATTGTTTTAATGTATCCTTTATGCATTATTTAAAAAAAATAATAGCATTGTGCACTTCTTCTCTATATTCTCTATAAGCGTGGAAAATTTCATACTCCTGCGTCCGCGCAATTTTCGTAAAAAGGGAAACAAAGTTTCTGCTTCACGTATTAATATATAGATATTCATGTTTAAAATATTTTTCTTTTAAAATTATATAATTTAATAATATTAACATTATTATATTATTATATTCGCAAAATTTGGCGGCACACAAAAGTGCCGCGGAACAGTGGTTGAGAATCACTGGTCTAGATAATCGAAAATAAACAAACAAACGCAAAGATTGTTGTCATAATTTGAAACGATGTTTCTTCAGAAATGCCTCTATAAATTTGTAAAGTATTATCGGTACATCCTTTGGCAGTAACAAAGAGAGAGTCTTAGACCCAGGTTACATTAATGAGTGCCGAATCGTTGGAAGATGCCACGTGAAGAAAAAGCTTATCACGAAAGTGGCTGTATTAGCATTGAAAGCTAAATGATGACATATTCAAGAACAGGTGTCAAATTTCTCTGAAGTTATAATTTGAGGAATAATTCAAATTAAAAATAAAATGTTATGTCAAATTGAATGTCGTCACGCCACACAGTATGGATATCAAATTGTATTAGGTTCGGAGGGTTTCTAATGGTGGTAGAACATCTTTTGAGCCCGCACGGTTAGTGCTCTGCCTACCACCTTTCCTATTTCGACCGTAAAGCAGTAATGGGTTCCGGCTTGAAGGGTGAGACAGCCGTTGTGCAGCTGATACTTAAAACTCAGGTCTCAAGGTGGGTGGCACCTTCAAGTTGTTGATGTCAATGGATTCTGGATTTAATTGTGGTGGTAGGACCTCTTGTGAGTCTGCACGGGTAGGTACCACCACCCTGCCTATTTCTGCCGTGAAGAAGTAATGTGTTTCGGTTTGAAGGGTGGGGCAGCAGTCGTAACTATACTGAGACCTTAGAACTTATATCTCAAGGTGGGTGGCGTATTTACGTCGTAGATGTCTATGGGCTCCAGTAAACACACAGGTGGGCTGTGAGTTCGTCCACCCATCCAATAAAAAAAATCCACTAAATCCATAAAAACCGGCATAGTAAACCGAACAAGCTTGCTTTTGCTACCATCACTTTTTGATCACCGATAATGTGACCTATAGCTTTGTGATTAACTTAAAGGACATTGTATGGCTTTAGGCTCCTACCAGCGTAGGGTAGTAACAGTAGTTTTTTTGCAGTCAGTAGAAATAATCTGCAATTATTCGGCGAAACCACGTAAGGGACTACCGGTTTACAACACCACTCCACCAGAGAATCCTGCTTACAATGGCGCCTGCGGTTGCCCTGATGGCAGCATTGAAGATGACGACTGTCTTTGCAACCTTTCTGAGAAAGGTAGGGAAAGCGAATATTTTACTAAGTTGCTATTAGCTTATGAAAGAAGAAAGAAGAAAAGGCCTGAAAGACGATATGTGTAAGAGGGGAGTGAGCAAAAAAATGGTATATGATAGAGGAGTATGGAACATGTTGGGCTGACCCCAGGTGACTGGGAGAAGGGCAGGAGAATGATGATGTAGTTAACTTGTTTTTTTTTACTGAAATGGGCGGCTGCGGATGATTTCATAGCTCACTTGGCAGTAAGGGGCTATCGGAGCCCAGAGATATCATCGAGGTAAATGCCGCCACCGACTTTGAAATATGATTTCTATGAAGTCTCAGTTCTATAGTACAACGGCTGGCCCAACCTTCAAACAGAAACGCATTACCGTTTTCCGGCAGAAATGGCCAGCGTATTGGTACCTACCCATAGGGCCTACAAGACGCCCCACCACCTGAATATGTAAATGATTGTATGTCATACCAACTTTAGTAACTCCCCGACGAAATAGAAACGTAAAATGCTATTTAAAAAAGCTGATAAAGTGTAAAATTTTTCGAAAAGAGTTTTAAGCTTTTGAAAGCTTATTAGTAATTTATTTGAGGATGTCAACGGCATGTCGAACCTGTGCATTCATTGTACAAACAAAACGAAGAACTGTTACTTGTCTGAAATCGACGACTTGATTAAGGACATTAATGTAGTATATAGTGCCATAGTACAGGTCCAGAATCCAGTATCCCGAAATCCTCACATGCGGATACAAGATAAATATAATATGTGCGTGTCGACTATTAACTTTATCTCGGGTATTACGGCGGCGAGACCGCAGTAAATGGATTGTTTAGTGGACGTACTGCAGGAACGTATTCTCAAAATCCGATACTAGATGTGATATCGGACATGCTTATTTTTTGTAGTACCTATTTTTTGGCTAAAATTAGTCTAACTTCCGTAAAACACCTAATGGAAGTGGATACTCTTGTCAAGCTTGAAACTAAAAACCGAAATTTCATTTAGATTTTGGTAGGGAGCGGCTTGGCTCTGCCCCTGGCATTGCTGACGTCCATGGGCGACCGTGACCACTGACTATCAGATGGGCCGTATAGTCGTCTGCCTACAAGGGCAATAAACAAAAAAAGATCGGATCGGATCTGAGAACAATAATGCATAATTGCTTAGCATTTAAGTCAATAAAAGTTATTTATTTATTATTAAATTAGTTATTTCTGTCTATATCTCAGTAACTCTCATATTGACACGAAAGATAAATCTGAAAGGTTACTCGAGTTCTCAGAACTGATAAAGTTGTTACCGGAGGCTATAGGTACCATAACGTGAACCCCACCACTGACTTTGAAACATTAGATCGAAATCCCAATATTACTATATATCATTTAATAAACCCTTCAAGTCGATATGCAATAGATATGGCTAGTTGTATCTACTCATGTGGTCTTACAACATTCCTTAATAACAGTAAATGCCAATCGACAATACGCAAATAATCATGCTGCCTATTCTCCGATGAATCTCTAATAGTAGAATTTTTAGCTTTTACTAATATCGAAGGTTTCAATAATAGAAGCACGTCGAAGGAATTAGTGTGTGTAATCTCCGGGAATTAACGTGGTTTGCTTGCGGTTTCGCCTACACTAAATATTTCAGGCTACCAACCACATTGCTGTTACAAATTAAATGTCGCATGTCGCCATGTGAATTTAAGCACATTGATGAGTGTGTCTTTTATTGATATTGTCGAATTACTTAAATAGTACATTTCTTCAATAGCCATATTTATGAATTCAAAATAAAATCTAAGTAACAACTATATAATTAAGTGAAGATTTCTTTAACACAGTTTTTTTTTTTATTGCTTGGATGGGTGGACGCTCTCACAGCCCACCTGGTGTTAAGTGGTTACTGGAGCCCATAGACATCTAGAACGTAAATGCGCCACCCACCTTGAGATATAAGTTCTAAGGTCTCAGTATAGTTACAACGGCTGCCCCGCCCTTTAAACCGAAACGCATTAATGCTTCACGGCAGAAATAGGCAGGGTGGTGGTACCTACCGGTGTGGACTCACGCGAGGTCCTACCACTAGTAATTACGCAAATTAAAATTTTGCAGGTTTGATTTTTATTACATGATGTTATTCCTTCACTGTGGAAGTCAATCGTGAACATTTTTGTTAAGTACGTATTTCATTAGAAAAATTGGTACCCGCCTGCGGGATTCGAACACCGTTGCATCTTTAGGCCACGACGACTACAATATAGGCTGCTATACTATATGGCACTATAGTATAGCGTAGTCTGAAAGCAGATTTATTGAACGAGAACTCAATATTGACTCGCAGATAAAGAAGCTATACGCACGTGTGCCGACCCCGATTCGAACTGTGAACCAACAGTCGTGCTACTACCGATATTCAGCATTGAAGATGCGCCCCCCGAAAAGCTATTCACGCAAAGGTACTTCAGCTATAACATTGTTCTTGATATAATCAGTGTTCATATGTTAGGATTGCTTTTCATATGACCCACATAGCTATTTACTTTGGCTGTACAATTGGTATCTGTCTGCGTATATAAAGTTAAAAATTATTATCACATTGTTGATATTCTTATAATGTACTTTTACCCATTGTACCATTTTATTTATTTAATGTTTCGCATTTTTATTTATTTTGTGTACAATATAACATACTCTCTCTCTCTCTCTCTCTTTCTTTCTCTAAAATAAAATACACAAATTATGTTCCTGTATTTCATTTCTTGCAGGGTAGTTGCAAACAATATCACTTTAAGACAAAGAGATTCAGTTGAGTTATTCAACAGCTTAGAGAACACAGAGGAGTCTTTGATTAGTTTGGTAAGCTTTTTGAAATACTGGTTTTAGAGTATTTTGTAAGCTCACTTAGGTAGGTAGGTAGCCTGTGAACCGATTGGTAAATAGTCAATGTCACCCTAAGCACATCATTAGGAATCCTCCCGATGCGTTAACAGTACTTTTAGGTATCTCAAGCACCGATCGCCGTCCTCGTCGAACCCGTCGCTTGCGACGAAGGGATCGGGGAATAAATTAACCCGTAGACACAGCCGACTGAATTTCTGGCCGGATCTTCACAGTGGGTCGCGTTTCCGATCCGGTGGTAGATTCTGCGAAGCACTGCTCTTGCTAGGGCCAGTGTTAGCAACACTCCCGGTTCGAGCCCCTAAAGCTCTCCTACACGCTAGGGCAACGCTGAAATAGCCTCTCAAGGCCATCAAGCCTGGTGGTAGGACCTCTTGTGAGTCCACGCGGGTGAGTACCACCACCCTGCCTATTTCTGCCGTGAAGCAATAATGCGTTTCGGTTTGAAGGGTGGGGCAGCCGTTGTAACTTACTTGAGACCTTAGAACTTTATATCTCAAGGTGGGTGGCGCATTTACGTTGTGGATGTCTATGGGCTCCAATAACCACTTAACACCAGGTGGCCTGTGAGCTCGTCCACCCATCTAAGCAATAAAAAAAAACAGCAGTGGTAGGGGAAAAAAAGTACGACGATTGGTGAAGACTAGCAGAGACTTGTCTCAAGACGATGACGGCTTTTACGTTATACCATTGGCCACATCAAAATGGGGTATCCTCATCGCTCTATTAATCATAGCTGTTTATTACAAATTTTTATTTCATTTATTTATTGCACAAGGCCATAGACTACAATTTCAATAAGACTTCAAATTGATGATGATGATGATGATTAATGATGATAGAACGAAGGGTTATTTCAATTTCAACCGACTGTCTATTTACGTCCAAGTGTATAATCATACCTACAAAACATCGGACGGTACAATTTAAAAAGTGATATAAATGGACTTCCAATAACTTTATTGCTTTAATTACTTAATTTATCTCTATATATAAAAATGAATTGCTGTTCGTTAGTCTCGCTAAAACTCCAGAACGGCTGGACCAATTTGGCTAATTTTGGTCTTGAATTATTCGTGGAAGTCCAGGGAAGGTTTGAAAGGTGAGAAAATATAAAAAAAACTCGGAATTATATAAAAACAAACAATTTTGTTGTTCCTTTGATGTGTCCCCTTGATGTGTCTTTTATTTATCGTTTGAGGCACTACGAAGTCTGCCGGGTCAGCTAGTTGCTTAATAAAAATGTACCTAATTTGTCCATTGACTCCAATTTAAAATCGTTACAACCTTTTTACGTGAGCTTTGAGACTGAATTACAATAGAAGTAAATTAAAAGTAGAGAAACAAAAAGTTTAGGGGCTTTAATTTTCAGAGTAACCGAGAGAGACATCTACATAGAACAAAATTGAAAAGGTAAGTTGTTTCAAAAGCTTAAGCGAAACCTTTTAATGTTGAAGGCAATTTTGGTTTTTTTTTTTCTGGGTCTCTAGTTACAGATATTACAGCAAAGGGGTCAGTGAAGTAATACTAAAGAAAGTTTTCGATTATTTTTATTGGGGTCTCTAGTTGCAGATATTACAGGAAAGGGATCAGTGAAGCTTATTTTGCTTCGAAGAGGTAATTAAAGCTTCCAGTGGTACGACGTTTTGTAAGCAATCACATGGTCTGGCCTAAGATGGTTGGTACTTACTAACAAAAACCCTATTATAGGTTAGAACTCATGTCGATAGTTCAACGGCCGTCTGGTGTAGTGGTAAGTGACATGGTCACTAGACAAGGGGGTCGCGGGTTCGAATCCCGCCAAGGGAAGATATTTGTATGATAAATATAAATGTATTTTCCAGGGTTATGGATGTATATTAAATATATGTATGTGTATAATAAAAATCTTACATTTATATCCGTTATCTGGTACCTGTAACACAAGTTCTTTACGAACTTATCACGGGACCAGTTAACGTGGCGTGATTGTTAGTAAATATTTATTATTATTTATAAAAAAAAAAAAACCTTAAACCTTAATAATCTGAGCAGGGCTTTGAATTGAAATAGTTCGTAAAGAGGAAGAGTGCAGGAAGAGTCACTAATAGACAATACATCAATAAATATACATCCCGATATATTGCACTGTACTTTACTATAATTTTTGTAAGGCGATTTAGGTTCGATTTGTATAGTAGTAGTCGTGATTATCATATTACCTTTTTGTAATTTTTAAGTCATCAATTTTAGTTAATTCGTTCACAATTTTTTTGGTGTGTCGTGTAATGCTTGTTCGGTTTTTGCTTGCCTACCTTAATGTGACTGCATTGGAGTGTTCGTTACCTAATTCAATAAATAAAAATATCTGACGTGTGCAATTTTCATGCTTAGAAAGAAACAGCGTTGGATTGAAAATATAACCAGCTTTATGCTACGCATCAAGTAAATAAAAATCGCCATGTAGTTTATTGTCATTGATTTATATCCCAATGTTGACACAGCTTTGAGTTTCCTTGCAATTCTGCAGTGGCCATATGTACACATACGAGCTGTGATAAACTGAGGCGTCATTTTAAATATACCTTATAATTTCAGCTCACTCCAACGTAAGCCAATCAGAAAGGCCGTTGTTAAAAATCGGTACTTCAATTCGAAAAGCATCACAAAGGGCCAGTTTAAAAAAGGCGTTGCTTTGACCCACAAAAGGGTGAGTCATTGAACAGTTCAATAATAGTTTCTCTGGCGACTCGTAAATTTAATAAATAAAAAAATGTTTTATTACTGGTGGTAGGACCTCTTGTGAGAACGGGTAGGTACCCTGCCTATTTCTGTGGTGAAGCAGTAATGCGTTTCGGTTTGAAGGGTGGGGCAGCCGTTGTAACTATACTGAGACCTTAGAACTTATATCTCAATGTGGGTGGCGCGCGTTGTAGATATCTATGGGCTCCAGTAACCACTTAACACCAGGTGGGCTGTGAGCTCGTCCACCCATCTAAGCAATAAAAAAGGCAGATGAGTATACGGCCCTGATGGTGAGTGTTTACCGTCGCCCATGGACTTCAGCAATCCAAACAGAGCCAAGTCACTGCCTACCGCTGTCTACTTTTACTGTTCAATATCTTTAACTGTTAATTCAGCTAGCACAGTACTTGAGTGTCAACGAATAATGCCTTAGTCATCCGCGACCACGTAAACTGTAAGGTATTTATATAAAAAACACGATTTTAAGCCTTAATAGTAGTTCTAATTAAACTTTTATATTTTTGAGCTGTTAGTTTGTAATTCAAAACTGTCATAGCTAGAATGAAACAGGCAGTGTCGCAATCATCGAAACTAGGTTTTTTCTCCCTACCTATTAAGATACTTATTAAGGTTAAGATAGGATTAAGATGAAGTGTCAGTATAATGATTTGGCTAAATGTCACGGTAACCTTGATATCTTTGAACCTAGACTCAGGGGATTTGTCAACTGTGTGCAGGATATCCTATTTAACAATAGCTAGTTATCAATATTTGTAATTTCAATTGTGTTTTCAATAGCCAAAGCTATGCACATTAATATGGTTTTGCTGAGTGCACATACTATTTAGATTGCAATCCAAATTAGATCTAGGTACTACTTTTACGATTTAGCTAATATGTACTGTAATGAATGTAATTTGTTCTGTGCACCAATAAAAAAAAAATTAAAAAAAGAAAACCCAAGACATATTTTGGAAATGAGCAACATATTCATAAGGACACTAATAAGCTTGAATACGAGGCTGGGCACGAGATTTCATCATCATCGTCATCATCATCAACAGCCCACAGTTGTCCACTGATGGACATAGGCCTTTCCCAATCCACACCACTGAGCCCGGTCTGCGGCTCTCCTCATCCACCTCTTGCCAGCTACCGTGCGGAGGTCATCGCACCATCTAGCCAGGGGGCGTCCTACGTTACGTCTTCCGCTGCGCTGTCTCCACTCGAGAACCCGTCTGCTCCAGCGATCATCAGTCCTACGGCATATATGGCCAGCCCACTGCCACTTCAGCTTGCTGACTCTTTGAGCTATGTCGGTGACTTTAGTTATCTGTCGAATAATCTCATTCCGGATTTTATCCTTCAGAGAAACTCCGAGCATGGCCCTTTCCATGGCTCGCTGAGATTTAAAACTTAAGATTTCAGTCGGGATTTAAAATAAGCAATCTGTTAAATTTACAGAAAACTACAGTATATTTTATAGTTTCATCGAATCGTAGAGATTGTGGAACTTCTCATCAACTTTGAGCTATGTACATCAGGAAATAAACAAAATTAGCTTTTTAATCGTGTCCATAATGAATTAAAAGGTCGGAGTTTTCCAAGCTAGCAAAAGTCCTGTAAATAGGCATTACGTTCAAAGCGGAAATGTTTCCAACATTAAAAAAAAAACTTTTCCACTTTTAATTTTCGGTAGCGACAATAAGAGCTTGGGGTAGAGCTATTAACCTGGTTTTGAAAAGGGACTGACCAAGGAATCACCAAGCATAATTACCCGGAATCCTCTTACATTTGCTTGATATTTCAACCGCGTTGTGCTTATAGAACATTTAAATGCAGAATTGTGTTAAACAACATTCACATGAATTCAGTTTCGGGCTGTAAAAGGCAGAAAACCTCTCCATAAAAACATAATTATTCTTCTAAGAATCTTTATGTCGAAGCCCGATAATCTCTCCCTTTAGCACATGTAATAGATTCCCCTAACGAGCCACCCTTGTTCATTAGTAGGCGATTCAACATTCTCAACGTGACCTCATATTTTCTTTCAATCACCATTGTGCTCTTGCTGAATAGATTTTAAATTGAAACGCAATGAGATATTTTTTTATGATTCATGTATTACTGGTGGTCCATAGGCCTTTCCAGTTTTACCAGGACAGGTGGGCGAGCAAGGCTCAGCCAGGAGGGATGGGATTTACTAATAACTGCCCGAGTGCCTCCGAAGACCTAACAATCCAAGAGTAGCTGCTTCGCGAATGAATCTACTACCGAATCGAAATCGCGACCCGCTGAGAAGATCCGGCGAGAAACTCAGTGAGCTGATGCATGGGTTAGGTTGCACGTCGAACTCTTTGTCGAGTTCGACGAGCACGGTTCCCGGGATCCCTAAGCCTGCTCCTAGTGTTAGAGCTGAAGGTACCTAATGCAAGAGTTATTGGATCTGATGGAGCGTATTGAGGTGGTTCGATGGCATTTTGATACTAAAATATTTATCAAGCAGTCACAGCCGATTGTAGCCTTGTTGAATTATAATTAAACACTAATATTTATTAACGCTAGTATTAATTAAGTTCAAGATTCAAATTTGTAAACGTGAGCTTATTGCGAAAGCTGTATTTGTACGAGACTGGGTTTACGATGAGTACAACTAGCACGTCAACTATAACATTAAAATTCGCTCTTAAATTTAATAATGAACTCAACAATTTAATAAATCAATACACCGACGTAGTTAGCCAATCACATCAATTGATGTGATAAGAGTATAAAATGAAAAATATATTTTAAATACCCGTCAAGTTTATATATAACATTTCTAGTATTTTGTCCAAAACTTAAGCGCAAATTGACTTATCAATTATCCCAAGACAGTCACAAGAATATTAAAAAAAAGTGAGTTTGTAGATTCAGGTTCACAGTTTTTAGCTATAGATATCTTATAACCACAGCTTTCCTACGAAATTTGGTTCACATAAATCTCAAATCGATTCTATTGTTGATCGAATGGTATCAACGGATTATTAATGAGGCTTACAGCAACAGCTGACAAATTAACAATACCCGTTCGTATTAGAATAATACTCTTGTGTCATTAGTGCTGTATCACCTTCTCTTATTTTTACAGAAGCAAAGCATATTCGCTAAACAAGCCAAGTTTCAACTACCAACGATAAAAAATAAGATTACTCAAGCCAAGTCTAAAATAACGGACGTCATACCTCGTAAAGATTTCACACGAGCACAAAAGCTCGTTAAAAGCTACATAAGCGAGAAACATCGTTCCTATTACGGCACTACAGAAAATAAACACAAAAACATTGTTGATCAGAATGATATAAACCATAAAGAGCCTACAGAAGCCGTTTTAAAATCAGTCGAAGAAAGAGTTATGGATTACAATAAACATTTCGGTTCCGATACTGATAGCTTACAAGGTAATAAAAGTCCAAAAATAATTACTGAAGATTCAGACAATAAGCTGATGGTGATGCTAGATAATTTGGAAAGAGCGGTGAGGAACATAGAACTAGATGGAAAAGAAAAAGAATTATTCGATGCCAAAATAAGAAAAATATACGGCACTGTTGTTGGTAAAGATGTTACTAATGTTGTACAACGTAAAGATGTAACTGATTACGATTTCAACCAAAAGATTGATGCTGAAGTGGAAGGAAAGGGTCCTCCTGCAGAACTGGAATACAGACGTAAACAAGATTACGGAGTTTCTAAAATTGATGTCAAAGACAACAAACATGACTACGATCGAAAATTAAATCCAAGGAAACAAAGTTCATTTGCTAATTATCACAGAGAAAATATCAACGATTTTACTACAAAGGATGATTATTATGATTTTTTTTATGCCAAGTACAAAGCCGGCGCTCTTACACCGAGACACACCTCGAGAAACCACGAAGATAAGAGCATTTACAGAAAAGATAATTTGAGATTTACAAATGCGATGAGTGAAAGAAAAGTTAAAAGATTAGAAGACGGTCGTTATAACGATCCATTAAGCGTGGACAGGAGAAGGTTTTATCAAGAGAAATTAGAGAAAATGGAGAAAAAATTACGTGAAACTAAAAGCTATAAACGTAGAAATGAGGTAAATGTTATGGACTTTATGAGTTGACTTTAAACCGCATCAAATAATCCGTACCCGCCTTAAGAATCAGCGCGTGTTATGTTTTTTTTTGTAGGATACTGCGGGGTTTCTCCCTGGTTAATGATACTAAGACTAGGATAAATATTTAAACATCATGCGATCTATATTTGTTGCCAACGACGGCGATGTCTTTGTCTTGTTTTCTTCAGAAGTTGGAGCCTCCTTAGATTGTGCAAATTCTGTTTCGCTCATTATATTTCACCGTCTTAAAGTTTCCAGTAAATACAATAAATTTTTATAACTTATACTAAATATTTTGTTTACGAACATTAGGGTACCCGCCTTTCCACCTCATCGCTGGCACGTTACTTAAATGTAACTTAAAATTGAATACTTGGTGATAAGTACCCAATTATTATTGTTGACCAATTTATAATTTTTGCGGGTTTGATTTTTATTATACGACGTTATTCCTTCACCGTGGAAGTCAATCGTGAAAATTTCATAAGTAGGTATTTCATTACAAAAAGTGGTTCCCGTCTGCAGGATTCGAACATCGGTACATCGCTAGATACGAATGCACCGGATCTGTTATCCTTTAGGCCACAACGACTTCAAAATGTGACTTGTGTTCTACAAAGCCAGTCGTTTAGTCTATCGTTTTGAATTCACAAAGCCCATACGCTTGAAGACCCAGCAGTCTCGTTATGATAATGCTCCCGCAAATAACTTTCAGGGCAAGCTGTCGCTGCGACCGACCGAGGATCTGTCAAGGGGGAGTCGATCTAAAAGCCAAATCAATCCGTTCTACATGCACGACGGAGCAAGATACCTTCACTACTGAGATGAAAATCTTGAATTAATTCCTGACAAAATAAACGAGTGTTTTATTTAAGTAGACTTTTATAGGCCGTTTTTTTTATTCCTTAGATGGGTGGACGAGCTCACAGCCCTTCTGGCGTTAAGTGGTTACTGGAGCCCATAGACATTTACAACGCAAATGCGCCAACCACCTTGAGATATAAGTTCTAATGTCTCACTATAGTTACAACGGGTGCCCCACCCTTCAAGCCGAAACACATTACTGCTTCACGGCAGAAATAGGCGGGGTGGTGGTACCTATCCGTGCGGTCTCACATGAGGTCCTACCACCAGTAATTACGCAAATTCCAAGTATGTTTTCTCAACTGAGCAGATTCGATAAAACATATTACAGTGTTTATTGAGATTTATGCACACACATCCCATAAACATGATTAGGACTAGAAAAAACAGTTTGCATTGGTGAGCACTGAGCAAAAATCTTTTTAGTAGAGTTTGTCCTGTGCCTTGCACGATTTCAAACTCTCTCTCAGGGTTACGTTGGGATAATGGCACATGTAATTTAGGACTAGAAAAAACAGTTTGCATTAGTGAGCATTGGGCAAAAATCCGTTTAGTAGAGTTGGCTGTTGCCGTGCACGATTTCAAACTCCCTCTCAGGATTGCATTGGGATAATGGCACATCAAATAAATCATCTAAACGGTAATTTTCACTGTCATTTTTACTAACTTAACAAATGTAGCCACCTATTTTGTAATGTCGGCAGACGGTGAGCATCCCTGAATATTGACTATATTGTCACATATGGCCGAATATGGACCTTGAAATATGCGGTCCGTAGCTTAATTTTTGTTTTTGTTGAGCCCTAAGTATCGATTCCCACATTGAGCCAACATTCGAGCGACGAACAAGTTTCTATTTTGTCTGGGTGCTTATTGTCTACTTATAGACTTATTGAAGCGTAAATAATTATGTGCACCCGATTAACCCGCGGCATACTTCGGCAATATGGTGGTCCACTATCTACACAAAACTATCCACAATTTTACGCCCTTAGACAAAGCATTTTACTATCTTAGATTTGATTTTTACTAGTGGTAGGACCTCTTATGAGTCCGCACCGGTAGGTACCACCACCCTGTCTATTTCTGTTGCGAAGCAGTCATGCGTTTCAGTTTGAAGGTTGGGGCAGCCGTTGTAGGTACTGTAAAAATTTAAACTCAGAAGTCAAGTCTCTAGATGGGTTTACACTGTTGACATCTATAGGGCTCGAACACTAGACGGGCCGTGAACTCATTCACCTATGTAAGCAAGTAAGAAAAACGATTTTCAGATATAAGAGGTTTACTTTTTTTTTTTTTCGAAAAGTAAAATTTTAACAAAAAAATGCTTTACTTAAATCCAGAAAGTCAATTTTAAATTTCGAAAACAATCAGTTCGTTTGTACGTATAATAAACCATTTAAAAATTCGTTTCACACCAATCGACAAAAAATTCCAGTCTGTTTAAAAAAAATATTTTACCATAGTATTAGAAACTTGAAGACATGACACTTCAAGATAACGGCTATAAAGCTACTGTTAAATGGATTTTTGAGATCATCATGGTCTTGTTAGAATCGAATTATGCGCTTATCCTAAACTAGCGACCCGCCCTCGCTTCGCTTCGGAACCTGTAATTTATTATTGATTTCTCCACTATTTAATGGATGTTATTATACATATAAGCATTCCTCTTCAATCACTCTATCTATTAAAAAACCGCATCAAAATCCGTTGCGTAGTTTTAAAGATTTAAGCATACATAGGGATATAGGGACAGAGAAAGCGACTTTGTTTTATACTATGTAGTGATGATAACAGAATCGCAAGTCCTATACTAAACACAAGACCACTCATGCTAGATGCTTCAATTTTACTTTAACTTAGTGCCTACAGAAGAATAAACATAAGGGTTTTTTTTAAACCAAACTTTCCTTGGAACTGGTACATTTACTTGAGAATTTTAAATGTATTTCATTAATGACTGACATAGCTCTTGAGAAAGGCAACAGATGCTGTCTTAATGAAAAATAAAGCTTTTACAAGTGATCGTGGTTAGCGCAAAAGGGTAGGGGAAAAAACAGAGAGCTATATAGCTATATATCTATGTAACCTCTATACGATTAATCCTTAAAGAGGTTTATATGTTATTTATATCATTCTTCTATAGATGACATAAATAGAATTTCGATTATTGAAACATTAGAACATTAGACATATAAAGAGCATTTTTGCAATATTAAAATATAAAAAGATATAAAAATAATGGTGAAGCAATAGCTTTAAATGTTGTTTCTCTTTATAAGAGCAACTCAATTGCTATCGTTTTACAAAGCTAAACTGTATTTTGATTTAAATAAATAAATACATTATATCTATATAAATAGTGTGTGCAGCAATCCAACTAAGAATATAGATACTTGATCTAAGAAAATTCTAGCAGCTTTAGCCGCCGCTACATTCTCTTAGTTCAACCACAATAGAAGTATTTTCCGAATCGCCGCTTCTTTTGCCATCCTTGCTATGATTCTGGCACCGGCAAGGGTGGCACCGGCAATGACAATGCATTTTAAGCTTCATCCTCACACCTAAAGGTGAATATGGAGACCAGTAATGTTACTTAATATCTTGATATGAGGTCGTTTGAAGTCGTCGTGGCGTAAAAGATAAGACGCGCCCTGCATTCGTATCGAGCAATGCGACACTGTACCGGTGTTTAAATTCCACAGACAGGTACCAGTTTTTCTAATTTAATATATACTTAATATATATTAGGACTCATATCATGAATATCGTGTAATAAAATTGAAACCCGCAAAATTATAATTTGCGTAATTACTGTTGGTAGGACCTCTTGTGAGTCCGCACGGGTAGGTACCACCGCCCTGCCTATTTCTGCCGTGAAGCAGTAATGCGTTTCGGTTTGAAGGGTGGGGTAGCCGTTGTAACTAAAACATGAGACCTTAGAACTTATATCTCAAGGTGGGTGGCGCATTTACGTTGTAGATGTCTATGGGCTCCAGTAACCACTTAACACCAGGTGGGCTGTGAGCTCGTCCACTCATCTAAGCAATAAAAAAAANGCCTATTTCTGCCGTGAAGCAGTAATGCGTTTCGGTTTGAAGGGTGGGGTAGCCGTTGTAACTAAAACATGAGACCTTAGAACTTATATCTCAAGGTGGGTGGCGCATTTACGTTGTAGATGTCTATGGGCTCCAGTAACCACTTAACACCAGGTGGGCTGTGAGCTCGTCCACTCATCTAAGCAATAAAAAAAAAAAATAGTGTCGTTTAATAAAAATTACCATAACACGTAAAATTTTTAATTTGCGTTATTACTGGTCGTCTTGTAAGCCCGCATACCCATGCGGCTATAGATAGAAAATCGAGCAATAAATAGAAAATGGAGAGATAGGCAAAGCGGTGATACCTACCCATGTCCCACTGTTGTGCCTATTTCTATCGTAAAACGTTAATGCGTTTTAGTTTGAAGGTATTTATTGTACTATAAGTCATTGTACTATAGAATCGATAATGAGAACTGATATGTCCAGGTAAGTGGCGATATTTATATTATTAATGTCTACAAGATCCAGTAACCAGCCAACATCAGATGTTTCGTAAGCTCATACACCATCTTATCAAAAAGATGAAGAATAAAATCGTTTGCCTATCGACAAAAACCCTGAATATGTCAAACAGAAACAACTCGCATTCGCAATATTTAAAAAAAGAACTATTAGACTTGCCGATAATAGGTAAGTAATCTAACCCAAAATACAAACATTAGCATTGCAAACGACAATGGACATACATGCCTGGTTCAACAACATTGTACAAACATAGCATACTGCAAACATTTTCTTTTGTAGTTGAATTACTGTAATCATTATGCACTAGGCCATAAAAGACCGAAGTAAAAGTCATCTCATTCAAAACGAAACGTTCAAATATCAATTGTGGTATTGCAAAAAAAATGTATTCCCGTTTTGTTTTTATGTGTTTCGTACAGATTTATTTGATTGAACTTTGTTGCTCAAATTCAAAGGATCTGCATTTGAATAAGGTAAAATGCTTTTAGAGTTTCTCACACGATTGGTTTTTCAAAGCCGTTAGAGGTCTTAAATACAGCCGTTGCCTTTATTAATAAACAATTATTTTATTATAATAATATCTCAAGCTTATCTACTCTAGTAACCAACTCACATCATGGAGCGCACATAGTGCCTCTTTGGATCTAAGTTTGGCCAATCTAATAAAATTCTTCTCAGTCGTACTTCTCACTCCTGGCGGAGTGGTCGTGGTTCCTCCTCCTTTCATCGATAATCCTCAATGCTGAGGGTCGCAGCCTCCTCTAACAACTTTCTCCTGTATTATCTTGCGCCATTCCTATATATCCTCGGTCGTGGTTATGTATGTCTTATTGCTTGGTTGCAGCTTTTGAGAGACTTCTCCATCTCTTTCTATTTGTGGCGGTACTTGTACATTCAGTAAGGGAGCACTTAGTAAATGACTTAATAAAGTCTGTCCATCTTGTGGGTGATCGGCCGCGAGAGCGCTGACCGTCTACCTCTTCCTTGTATAATTAACCAATGAGCTTTCATTATGGATCAAATAAAATACACACGCGTGGAAGGTTGCCCATACGATGGATCAACCAGATCAAGTCGGCAGTTGGCGGCTGTTTGCATGAGTTTACCAGGCTTACCACAAACCAGGAGGAGTGACAATTGCTCATGAGGCGCATAAAATCTGCCCACACCAATGATGCTGAATAACGACCACGACCACTCCGACAAGAGTGATACGATAAAGGAAAAGGAACGGATCAGCCGATTCCATTTTTTTTAAAAGATATAGGAATAATGAACATCAAGCGTTGAATTCTGAAATACACACCAAGGACTCATAAAGTTAAAATCCGCTTCTCCTATATCCCAACACATAGAAGGGGCATTACATCATTTGGTTCACTAACAGCTCTAAAAGGCGAGAGAGTAGTGTGAAGGGCTTCCCAAGATGAGATCTGCCCAGTGCATATAAGATTTCTAGTCCCTCTGTTTCTATAGTCCTTGCAGGTTGAGAAATATTTATGCCGAGGGTATTTAACAATCAAGTAATGTACCATTTTCTTTTCAAATATTTTCTGCTGCAAAAAAAGTACGTCGCTTTAATGTCTACCTTGAACCAAGAGATATCGGTAAGTCGATGGATCTTATGCTTAGTACTTTAGGTGTTTGTACCGAAATTATGGGTTCTTACATTAAAGTTCTCTGCAAATCGATACCGGCCGGAAACTCAGCAAGTAGACTCGGATTACCTTAGAGAGCCACCTCTGTGACTCACGACAATGAAGTCCAATAGGTGACCATCCTAGTAGAATAGGAGTAACTGTCTTAACAGGAGAGGTCTTTTTGTATGGAGATCGACAAATTATTTTTTACTTTCAGGTCAGCACACACTCGAATAATAATGAAATGAAAATAGACAAGGATAATAAATACGATGAAATGATATCGAAGAACGAGAGAGTGAGTATCGCAGCCTTATTATTAAAATGTTGCACTGTACATGTGGCTACAGGGCACGGGTTCTATTCCAGTGAGCTCATTGTGAAAATTATGTCCTTTTGCTGGCTATCGTTAGAAGGATGAACAGTCCGTCACATTTCCGGGAGATTGTCCATTACGGCATCTTGTGAATCCGCCTATTTCTGCCGTGGAGCAGTAATAAGTACCAGTTATAAGGGTGAAGCAGTCATTGTACTGCAGAATTGAGAATCATATCTCAAGGTAGGTAGCGGCATATACGCCGTTGAAGTCTATGGACGCCGGTAACCACTTAATATTAAGTAGGCCGTGACATCGTTTAATCGACTAAAAAATCTTCTAGGTGCGCTGCTAACATCAGTGAAGCGCACAATATGGGCGTTTTTAGTCGCAAGCAGATTAAGCAGTACGGTTACTGCTTCTTACATCGTGTTCCTTACTGCTGGGGATCCGTGACCTTCACGGAGAACTTTTGTTTGGGCTATGTTCCATCTTCCATTCCGAGATTCGATTGTTTCTATACGACCATTCGAAAAAGGTGCACATCCCTGATTCGCCGGGTCCGGGCCAGCTCTAACAGCATCCTGAAGGCATTAACAACCCATTATGACTGTCGGCACTTGAACCATTGTACCATAGTTCACTTGCGGACTAAATAACAATAATAATAATAATTATTGGTCTCAACAAAAATTCGGTGCTGGCCCAAATGCAAAAAGCAGTCTTGCTCGACAATGCCCGTATAGTTCGCCGGTTTCTCTCCCAATAGTCCCTAACGCTCCGGCCGATTGTTGCCCACCTCGCCGGAGTGTGTCCTGCCGTCTTCCCAGGCGTGGCAGTGTTTAATACATAATAATAATAATAATAATAATGGTTGGTTCGAAGTAAGTATCAGTTGAATGGAATATTTTAAATGTATCCAACTGATAATCTTTAAGTAAAGAGTATCTTTTTTATTTGATTGGTTTTGTTAATTTTATATATGTTTCAATGATACTATGTACATATATAGACTTGTTGTTGTTGTCTGAAATAAAATAAATCATCATCATCATCATCATCATTCCTTCTTGTCCTCTGCGCAGTGGATAGCAACATTGATTATATAATACGACTAGCTGACCCGGCAAACATTGTTTTGCCATATATAAGATTTCTAGGGAATTTCTAGTGTAGAAAAAAAAACTAACTTATTGTAAGTGTGTAAGGATGTGGTAAATGAGTGAAAGAGGTATGTAGTGCTGTGAACGATGAGGGAATATATAATAAAAATAACAAAACCTCATTCAACCACATAATACCTCATTATAACAANCGAGATGACGTCATTCACTCTAACCATAGACACACCATCCCGGTAAAGGCTAGCAATCAATGATACTAGATGTTGAGGTACGCCCATTTCCCGCAGAATTCTCCACAAACAGTCCCACCGAACACAATCAAAAGCTTTTGTGTAATCTATGAAACACAAGAGTATTGGCATGTTAAACTCCCGACTTTTCTCAATTATTTGCCTTACTTAATCAGGCTTACTGAATATGCATAAAAAATTTCATGAGAATCGGTCAAGCGGTTTCGGAGGAGTATGGGAACGAACATTGTGACACGAGAATTTTATATATTAGATTATATTATTTAGGTTTCAAACACTCCATAGGTCATAGAAAACAAATATTTTTTTTTAAAGAACTTTTATTTTATTCAAGTTCGCGAGACACGCTGAAGCCATAACGGAAAATGTAGCAGAACACATCTTAAAAGAAATAAACAGAAAGTACCCCAAAACGGATAAAAGAAAACGGAAATTGTTGAGCGCATTGAAAAAGAAATATGGAAGACAGAAAGAAAAGACACAAAAAAGAAAGATGACTAAAAATGAAAACCGAAAGAAAATGACGACGAGGAATTCGAATTAAAAATGGTTATTAAAGATTGAGAGAAAGAATTGTTAATAGATGTTTTTATTAGTACGATCTAAAGGTTCATATGGAATGCTGACCCTAAAAAATAACTGCAAAGCTTAAATAATGAAGGAATTTGGGATCTAAGTTATTAAGTTCAGGATAAAAAACAAATTAGCTTTATTCACGAAAAGCTGACATCTCATCTTTCATTAGATTTTTTGGTCGCCACTGCGATTTTAGTTAACTCTTCACTTTAATGGTAAGGATATTTCTTGTTAATAAAGATTTGGAGATAGTTCGAAAAATATTTGTTTTTATACTTCTTAAGCTAATCCCTCGCGATTATATTGGGAGTGATTACTTATGTTATACCTTCCTTTATCTATTGCATTGAACGTGTTAAAACCGATTTACTTTAAATACCTCACGTAAGAAACTGAAAAATTGACATAGATACTATAAGTATAGTTTAATTGCTTTTTTATTTGTTTAGATGTGTGAACGAGCTCACGGCTCACCTGGTGTTAAATATTTACCGGAGTCCATAGACATCTATAACGTAAATGCCACCACCCACCTTGAGACAAGAGTTGTTAGTCTCAGTTTTACAGTACAACGACTGCCCCAACCTTCAAACCGAAACGCATTACTGCTTCACGGCAGAAATAGGCGGGGCGGTAGTACCTACCCCTGCGGGCTCACAACCCGCCCTACCAGTAAAAATGACATCTTTAAGACAACTCTGTACGCACAAAAAGGACAATGATGCCTGGTTATAAAGGTGAAGTCATGGCTGTAAAACCATATACGACAAAACTAAAGTCCATACTTATAGTTAAATATAGTACATTTTATAAATTACATAAATATATAAAATTTAAAATACAATATTATTCTTTATGTATCATTGCTATGGGCTCTAATTGACATATAGCGTAGGTATATATGTATAAAATCTATCCTTGTGTGACAACTAATCACTACATAGTATAAAACAAAGTCGCTTTCTCTGTCCCTATATCCCTATGTATGCTTAAATCCTTAAAACTACGCAACGGATTTTGATGCGTTTTTTTTTTAATAGATATAGTAATTGAAGGAAGAAGAAGAGAAAGGTTTATATGTATAATAACATCCATTAAATAGTGGAGAAATCAATAATAAATAATAGTTTCCGAAGCGAAGCGAGGGCGGGGCGCTAGTTCACTTATATAATTGAGATTCTTAAAATGTATCTTTTTTTTTATTTTTTATTTTTTTTATTGCTTAGATGTGTGGACGAGCTCACAGCCCACCTGGTGTTAAGTGGTTACTGGAGCCCATAGACATCTACAGCGTAAATGCGCCACACACCTTGAGATATAAGTTCTAAGATCTCTGTATAGTTACAACGGCTGCCCCACCCTTCAAACCGAAACGCATTATTGCTTCACGCCAGAAATAGGCGGGGCGGTGGTACCTACCCGCGTGGACACACAAGAGGTCCTACCACCAGTAAAAATCTAAAAATAGTAAAACCAGTAAAAAAAGTATCTTAACAAACACTTCCCAGGACATTTTTAATGTGTTCTCTGGTGACCGTAAGTATCATTCGACAAAAGATATAACATGTATGACAGATTCACGATAAGCTTTCATATACTATGTTCCGAACAACAACATTTAGACCGTCGATCTAACGAGCAATATCGTAATATCGTAATCCCAAACATTCATTAGAGTGGTTGTATCTTGAAAACCCCTATATCTTCCCCTTTATCAAAGATATGTAGTGAATTTAACCAAATATGTGCATTAATTGACGGCATTGACATTTTTAACGACACGTGTCCTGGTCTCAAAAACAAACTAGTATCCAAGTTCCTTTGCTTATAATTGATGAGAGAATGTCATTCTGATTACATTGCGCAGTCTGTTCTATGTATTTATATTTTTTGCATTGCCGCGCTCGACTTTTTTAATTTTTTTATAGTTTTNTGATGAGAGAATGTCATTCTGATTACATTGCGCAGTCTGTTCTATGTATTTATATTTTTTGCATTGCCGCGCTCGACTTTTTTAATTTTTTTATAGTTTTATAATTTTTATTTATAATTTTTTACTATATAAATATGTGCATTATTTCTTATTTAGTAATCTGTGAAGTTAGTAGTGTGTGTAGTTAGCTCTTGTTTTCGTGTTGTTTTCAAATATATATATATTGCTGTAACATGTCATAGTGTGTTATAAGAGATTGCTGTACATGCCTGTAACTGGCTTACATACCAGTACTTAATTCTATATATGTTAATTTTAAGCTTGAATGTTTTGTGTGTATTGCTGTTGGTGTGTCTAAATAAATAAATATAAAAAAATAAAAAAAATAAAAACAAACAAACGTGTATTACTCATGCATTTTAATGTGTACAATAATGTCAACCGGTTTCTTAATGTCTCCACTTTCTACCGAAGAAGACGTGTTGTACGCTCTCTCGTTCTCTCTAACGACTGTCTTTACGAATTTCTTCTCTTGTCTCTCCTTATTCCTTGTTTTCTTCTCGTCCTTTTTATCTTTCCGTTTCTTCTTTGTCGGTTTTCTCTTTTTATATCTCTTCTTCAATTTCGTTACTGTTCGTCTTGTGGTCGGTGTCACGTCAGTTTCCTGTGGATAGGGGTTTGAATCACGATTAAAATTCATGCAAATCGGACTTTTGTTATTAGTCTTATTGCATGTTTGGAGGAAGGAATTTACAGCGCCCCTGATAGAAAGTGCTTAGTAGTGAATGAATCATCCACTTTAAAACGCGGAGTAGAAGTCTTATCTGTTTTGTTCAAGAGCTGCCCTAACCTTTATTAATCCGTGGGAGAATAAGTAGGATACTCAAACACAAGACGCGACCTACCACTGATTAAGGATAAATAACACTTTTCTATAAACCTGACATCCAATCGTGCTCTGTAAACGAGGGGTCATAAGAGCGGGATATGTATAGAATTAACTGAAAGAAAAATTTAAAACCTTCTTGTTTTTTTTTTTATTGCGCTTGTAGGCAGACGAGCATTCGGCCCACCTGATGGTGAGAGATTACCACCACCCATGGACTACAGCAATGCCAGCGGCAGAGTCAAGCCGCTGCCTAGCGATAGCCATATGCAAATTATTTGCTTGTCATTACGTCATTGATTTTTTTTTATGGCTTAGATGGGTGGACGAGCTCACAGCCGTAGACATCTTCAACTTAAATGCGCCACCCACCTTAAGATATAAGTTCTAAGGTCTCAAGTACAGCTACAACGGCTTCGCCACCCTTCAAACCGCAACGCATTACTGCTTCACGGCCGAAATAGGCAGGGTGGTGGTGCCTACCCGTACAGACTCACAAGAGATCCTACCACCAGTAAAGATTACATCCAGATACAAAATAGACGGGCGTAGATTTTGCCAATAAAAGACTTACTCTCATCGAATCTATCAGCTCATTGCTGCCAAACCAATTCACTAATTCGGCGTGCCTTCGGGCGCCTTGTACCTGAAATAATCCAAAATTGTAATTCGCTGTCTAGGGTGCGCACGAGATATGTGAGACTTGAAGGTCTGCGGATGCTGGGAGCAAACCGCGGGCCCAAGGATGACTGTGCCTAGCCTAGCCATATCTATAACAAACCAATTATGTATTCCAGTTTGAAGGGTGAAAAAGACGTAATTAACAAAATCACAGTTTAACCTGAACATGAGTGGCGGTTATGACGTGGCGACATTTATGGACTACTGTGTCCATAAACACGGACTACTATAGACTACCATGGACTACTATGTCTATAAATACGGACTACTATGGATAACCACGGACTACTATGGACTCTATGTCCATAAATACGGACTACTATGGACTACTATGGACTACCATGGACTACCATGGACTACCTGGACTACTATGGACTACTATGGACTACTATGTCCATAAGTACGGACTACTATGGACTACCATGGACTACCCTGGACTACTATGGACTACTATGTCCATAAATACTAGCAAACACGCTCTGGGTGTTTGCCCAAGTAAAATAAATAATTAAAAAAAGTTTTATTTGAAATCTACAAACCTTACCAAAATCAACTTATATATAAAATATGGTCATAGCGACTCTTGAAGTTCGCGTTGGAATCATTCTAAGACTTTCATTTTCATTATCAAATTATTCATTTAAAGTGCCTGTTTTAGATAATGAAAATTATTTAATTTTGAGTCTTTTAATTAATTTTGTTAATTTTTATAATCGTTAGTATGTAAATTATTCTATTATTTTGATAATGAATAATCGTTTTCAATTCGATTAATGGTAATTTTAATTAAGAGTAGGAACTACGTCGAATTAACGAATGAAGTCGTATTTGTCATAGGGGACGAACGTCAAGTTATTCTATTCTCTTGTAGAAAGCGGTAGCCCACGTTGGTCATGCAATAACCCACTGGCTTTAAATCACTAATTATGATTATAATCGGTAATTGTTTAAGTATTTTAACCTTCCTTATAAATAAACTAACGAAAATTCAACACTGCAGTATTTTACTGGTGGTAGGACCTCTTGAGAGTCCGCGCGGGTAGGTACCACCATCCTGCCCATTTCTGCCGTGAAGCAGTAATGCGTTTCGGTTTGAAGGGCGGGGCAGCCGTTGTAACTATACTTGAGACCTTAGAGCTTATATCTTAAGGTGGGTGGCGCATTTACGTTGTAGATGTCTATGGGCTCCAGTAACCACGTGGTGGGTTGTGAGCTCGTCCACACTGTATATAGAACGAATCAACAACCTCATGCGACAGACCGTCCAGTCAACGTATGACTCCCGTATGGACTTGCATCGACCTCATCACATACCAGGACATACCAAAAAAATTGAACTAAACTCACCTCATTTATCAAATTAATCAAAACGAAAAACAGTACAGTAACTAAAAAATGATTTATTTTCATTTTCGACGCGCGTCTGTCTGCCTTCGGCGAAGACTGGCTGGAAAATGTATTTGGACAG